ACTTTCTAATTTGCATCAGAGGGATGACAAGCATGTGGTCCCAGTTAAATCAAATCTAAAGTTTGGCTAGCAAAGATCCAGAAAATTCTGACCCCTAAGTACCACTTTAGGAATACTGCTAGAATAGACAAGTGGAATCTAGGGATCTGTTTGGCCTAAATTTTTTTTTTTTTTTTTTAGGATTAAGAACAAAAACAAAAATGGAACAAAAGCAAAAACAAAATTGATGCAATCCGGTAAATACTTTGTCAATTTGGTGTCCCTGACACTGACATGGAAGTCCAGCTGGATGATGGATATGGCCAATTAAAAAACTTTCAGTGCTGAAAGTAAAAATGATTAAAATCATTTACCAATGGCCTGTCCTTTGTTTTTAAAGATGGACATGTTTTCTGGACCTTCCCTTAAAAGAAACTTCTGGAATTGATACATTTCACAAAAATATACATATAATTTTTTTCAGCTACTACTTTTGTACAACTTGAATCCCAGTGTCAAACACATAAAGTACTACAATTATATAAATAACTACACAAACAACATAGTAACAAAGGCAACTTCTGAGTAAATAAAATTAATGATTATGTACTTAATAGCCTTGAAATAGCTTTCAAAGAATAAAGTAAGCTGAAAAAAACTGTACTTAGAGCTCTTTTTCCATGTAAATTCAGTAACAGTTTGGCTCTTGGTTGAAAATATCACAGACATATACTAACCAGAGATTAACTATATCCACTCACTATCAACCTTGATGATAAATTTTAAGCAGTTCTTTCAAAAGAAAACCAAAACTCTTAAGTCTTTCAATCTGATTTGTGACATCTTAGTTCAGTAAAACTTAAATGACAAAGCCTGAGAAAAGCACCAACATAGATTTTTAAATTGCATCCAATCATCATTTTCAGATGTCATAAAGATTTGCTTTAGTTAAAATGGCAGCAATGACAAAGAGGTAGATATGAAAGATGTCATTTAAACACTATTCTTAGGTGGTATTTTAACTAGTTCAGGTGTTTAATCTAAAAATAATTTTTACTAGTTGAATCTTCATCACATAAGAATTTCATGACATGCTCTTGTGTAGGAGGGAAATATATGAAGTCCTAAAAAAGAGGGCCTTTAAAAATCACATTTTTAAAAAATTAATTTACTTAGCCAACATTTAAGAGAGCCCATCAGTTTGGTGAACCAATAATTTCTCCTTTTACCTGAACTTGACTATAGTGAAAGAATAGTTATTTTTCCTCTCTACTGAAATTTCTAGGAATTCACATTCAAAATCCTTGGAAATACATGTGGTGCTCAGAAGAGCACAAAGACAATGCATGAAATGTCCCCTGAAATCCTAGAAGTTGAGCAGATACATTGAAGACATTGAAGGTCACAAATCAGGACCGTCACAGATTGGCAAGCAAACACACAGACGCACACAGAGGCACATGCGCGCGCGCACACACACACACACACACACTCTCTCTCTCTCATAGCCCCCCCCACCCCCCCAACTCAATCCTCATCCTCACTGTAAGGCTGCATTTGTATTTTATTTTAAAGGCACCTCTCATTCTCTAGCTATTGCCTTCTTGATGGTATCTGTTTTGTTAAAAGTCCTGAATGTTCAATGGAAATAGTTCAGTACTGAGAATGGAATATTTTTCAATTCACATTTGAATAGCCAGGTTTTCTTACATTCAGATTTTAATAAACTAGAATGACAGTCTTTAAAACAAGCATGCTAGCCTATAATGAATATAATATATACAGTAATTTAAACATTTAGAACTATATATTATACTGCAAAAGCAAACAGCACAACACTCATCATACTCATCATTACCTGCGGTGTATACTCTACCTCTAAAAACAAAAATACAAAACAGTAAAATGCACCTATGGTTTATATATATATATATATATATATATATATATATACACACACACATATATATGTATATATATATAGTCTATATATTATATATATTCTTACAATATATATAATATATATTTATAAAATATACATACATTTTAGACATTTTCAAATAAATCTTTATCATTATGTCCAAAAGAAATTTATAGCAAGAATACTGAAGGAATGAAAGTCAGATAAACAAAAAATTTTTCACAAAGTTCATTATCAGTGATGCAGCATAATTTCCCCCCTTTTAGTCATAACTAAAATGATTATAAAAGCTAAATACTTTGCATAACTAATTATCTGTTTAATGGCAAAAATTGCTAAACTTGTTCAATAGAAAAATACTGAAGGTCATTATATCACTTATGTTAAATATCTGTCTAGGGTTCGAGTAGCAAATGAGCTCCATATGACAGCTGGGTTTTGAGAAGGGTGCTGCAAGCTCCCAGAGATGTATCCACAGCATATGAAAATAAGGCAGGGGACCCACCATCTCCCGCTGATTACTATCCCAATATAGTTCATCCAAAATATTTACAAACCAAGCACTATGAAAGCATTTCAATGACTGTTTGAATCTTGAATTTGTTCATTTTGTGGATGTTCATTAAATTTTCTATAGACTGGGGGGGGATATCAGACACATGTCTATGCTTCTATCTGGTTGGAAGACAGCTTTGGCTCATTTCTAGGCTGAGATCACACAGTGCTAGTGGAGAAGAATCTCTGTTTCTGTGTACAGTTTCCAATGGCATGCACTGGCTTGCTAAAGAACTTTCAACAGTTCCAACATCTGCACTACCTATATCTCATGGTCATTTTCCACTCACTAACAGAAAAATTTCAACCATGAGGTATAAAATGCAGGGGAAGAGAATGTCTTGGTTTTGAGAATTTCAGTGGCATAAGTAAAGCAGGCACTGAAGACCTTAGGAGGTAATTAAAGCAGTAACTGGTAGAACAATAGCTTAATACGTCATATATATGCCAAGTAAGGGCACCTAACTGGAATTTTCCAGTATCCCTCTATAAATGTTAGGTCAGCAACACCATTTTTTCACTCATAGAAGAACCAAAAGAGGAATGCACCAAACAAAATGTGGAATTCTGTATCTGCATGGGAATAATATAAACGTTCACCTGGTAGCTCAAGTCCAGGTCATTCATTTGATTATACAAAGGAGTCCCTTGAGCTCACTGTTAACCACAGCACAGATGAAATGAAAAGGTAGCTGAGTCAAAATATTAAAGCATATCTATGTATCGATCAGGCAAACCTAACACACATCTTTAAAGAAAATTTGCCTGTATACTGCAAAACTCTAGAGGCAGAAAACAGAAATTTTAAAGAAAAATTGTCAATTACTATCCATATCACCACCAGAATATGTTTTCAAGGAGTAGATATACCTATCATCAGAGGTGTCATTGTTATGACAATGGACTATGTGGGGAGAGGAATGTAGTAATTTTATTAAAAGGTTAAAATATTTATGGATATGGATTTTTAAAATCTGAGAACTATTCTACATACATTTTGCTGAAACGTTGGGCATTAGTAATTTATTTCTAATTTCTACATTTCTACATTCGACATTTGGGGCAAACAAGAGAGTGTGAAGACAGGTGAGACAGTTGTGGGGATGAGGTCTATACATTAGGTCCAAAGAGTGGGGTCATGGGAATCCCAAGAGCTGGCCACATGTGGGGTCACAGGCTAGGTGACAGGTGAGCTCAGGGAAGCCTGGTCCTTTATGACAGTTTTCCCCAGAAACGATATTGATACACTGTCTATTAAAACATGCTGTGTATTCCAATTAAAGAATGGAGGAGGGGTAGGGGCAGGGAAAGAGAAAGAGAACTCTTTAGCCAAGGTTATGCACTGTACTCTTCCATCCAGATTTCCAGGGGGCTCCCATTCTTGGATATATTAATGGAGGACTTCTGGGGTACAAAATAGTTGGATTTACTGCAAAAGCAGGTACCTAACATTAACCAAACCCTTTGGGCTGTTAAAACATAATAATTATAAACTGTTTTGGTAGATGTCAGACAATTTGAATATGAGAGACAAAGAAAGAGCAAGAGGTCATCTGAAGCATGGTATGTGGGTTTTGACAAATGAGTACTCACAGATAACTTCCGTCTTTTCAAACCACTGAAAGGTAAGATTTCATTGATATGAGATAACCACTCTGATACTATAAATATCACATGAATAAAGTGAATTTTTAAAATTAACAGAAATTATTATAAAGATATGCCCTGCTTGCCCTTAAAAATAAACAGAATCTCAAACCTGAATAAGTTAAATCCTTTAGTAAAAGCAGACTCTATCAACTATTCATAATGGTGACCGTTTTTGACAGCTAAACTTTACAATGGTACCAAATCTATTTTCAAAAATGTAATACAATATAGAAATCTGCTTACAAACTAAATATTTGTTTCATATTTCTGAATAATAATATATTTAACATATTATTGCATTTCCTTTTTTTTCCCCCTTAATAGGTAAAATGCTTTGCCAGGTGCTTTACGTGCACAGATGAAAGGAGAGCTAAATTAAAAACTCATTTGAACACTGCCTGGTCATTATGCACATAGGGGTTAGTACAGCAGATATGGTCAAGATCACTGTTTTGAATACCTAATGTGTTTAACAAGATTTCTCAGGGGAGAACTAGGTCTAAATTTTTGTTCTTCCTCTACTCATTCCCAGTCATCAAGCTTTTTAATTATCCCTTATAGCATGCCCTATTTACTCAACAGGGACAAGCCAAACTTATGTTCGCTCAGGCCTGCCTAGCGAATTAGAACCACCTCAGAAATAAAAGCTCCTATTTGGGGGAAAATTTGAAACAGTTTTCAGGCTCACAGATTCAGCTGAGCTTGCAGCAACCTGAACAAACCTTAGTTTTAGAAAACAGTATACGAATTGCAAAACTATACTTTAACAAATGTTCTCTGTGCTCCTTCAGCAGAACAAAAGGGCAGGATAGGCTGATTCTTGCCCTGGTCTTCTGTATCTCTTTTGTGCAGTTGATTATTTATAAAGAGCTAGAAGGTGAAGATGATGCTTGTGTCATACAAAGACTTTAGCCAGTGCATCAGCCCCAGCACTGGCTATATAGCATTTGGATGGGTGGAAAGCTACATCATGAATGGATTCTTCAAACTTTTTCCGATGAGCTGTAAACTCTTGGATACATGTTTTACTTTCTAGGTTCCATAAACGTATTGAACAGTCATGACCTGCATCAAAAGAAAAGGAAAAAAAAGGAAAAGAAATTGAAAGGAAACATTACATTAACATGAAACTAATAAGGATAAATAAATAATCCACAGTTGATGTACTTACTGCCAGACATCAAGTACAAGCCATTAGGATCAACTGCTAGACTTGTAACAGCTTCTAGGTGGGCTACCATGGAATGGATGAGTTTGCCTTTGGAAAAAAGAGATTGTTACTTTTTATTAATAGCTTTCTTCATCCCTGATTATATGCCAGCTCTACCTTGTTACACTGATTTCTCCAGTCACCCCTCTCTGTGTACCTACTGCATCAACAGCTTTTCCCATAACAGCTAAAACAATGTGTCTCCCTCCCCGTTCCAGCCACGGTAATAATGAAAAACAAAAGCTCAAATTTCAGATTATATTTTTGTCTTTCAAATAACAACAAAAAAGTCATTTCTACACAAATATTCCTTTAAGTCATGTTCATTAACTAAGACGCAGACATTATTAATCAGCTACTTTGTATCCTTCAGCTATAGGCAAATTATATGGGTTGTGAGAACAGAAGAGACTGAGACAAAGACAAAGGAACGGAGAGAAAACCTGGCCTCAATTTTGGTGGAAACATATAGAAAGGGATTAAAATATTAAATTACTCATCACTCACAGCTAAGCAAAGTCAGCAAAAGTCAAGAGCAGATACTCAGGTAAATATGGCTGCTAATATGGAGTGTTTTTCTCCCAACACAGCTCCTCAGGATTTTCCTTTAGTGAAATGCAATTCAATAAAAAAATGGGAAAGCCCACATATCCTAATTCAAATCAATCAGGACCAGTCAATATTATAACACAGAAAGGAGTACTCCATGAAAAATTGACTCAAGTAAACCAAATGACTCAGGGTTTCCATCTCTAACACTAAGGCTATTCAAACACTGACCAATTTTAAACAAAATATAATGATCATATGTCTCTACTTTCAATATGTTTCTACTTTTCCCCAATATATGCACAGCAAGAGATCAGTTTTATGGCTTCGTGAATGACCTTTTCATTGTGTCCGTAGTCATAACCTTGGCTAGTATCTACTAGTATTAAATACTAATATCTACTTAGTATTAAATAAACCAAGATGATTCTATATGCTACCATGAAGACTAGTTCTTAGCAGATCTATACAGAATGAATAGAAACTGAGCTGGGAGAGTATCTGTTTTCATGCCTACTCCTGGACTATACAGCCACCAAGAAACACCCAAATCAGGATACTTATGGTGGTGTTTGTTTGTGGGTTTTTTTTGGGGGGGGGATTTTTTTGCTTTATCACTGATCACTTTGTAATAAACACTTACCTGTATTGTTATCATAGAATTTGATGTGCCTGTCTTCATGAGCAGTGATGCTGATGGGAAGAGTGGGATGGCTGATGACTCTATTTATTTGGCAGGAAGAGTTGGCTGCAAAAAAGAAAAAAAAAGAGCAACAAGTTAGTCAAAGCTACTATTTCTTCATACAAGAGAACTGAATACTCACCTAAGAAACTAAAAACATAAATGATGTGACTTTAATTTGTCTTTAGTTCATTTATTCTGTGACTATTCATAATTTCAGTGTTAGGAAAGAAGAACTGCTGAGCAATACCATACTGACAAATCTAGAGGTACGTACAAATGAGAATTTTCTTTTCCACCTAAAATCAATGGGTGCCTCCCAGGGCTTAGCCTAGGGTCACTAACATTTCTCATTCTCTGATGACTTGCGATACTTCTGCTGCTTTAATAAAGTTCCATCATTATTTACATGTAGATGATACCTAAATTTATTTTTTATTATGTTAATCATCATACATTACATTAGTTTTTGATGTAGTGTTCCATGATTCGTTGTTTGCGTATAACACTCAGTGCTCCATTCAGTACGTGCCCTCTTTAATACCCATCACCAGGCTAGCCCATCCCCCCACCCCCTCCCCTCTAGAACCCTCAGTTTGTTTCTCAGAGTCCATAGTCTCTCATGGTTCGTCTCCCCCTCCGATTTCCTCCCTTCATTCTTCCCTTCCTGCTATCTTCTTCTTCTTTTTTTTTTTTTAATATATAATGTATTATTTGTTTCAGAGGTACAGGTCTGTGATTCAACAGTCTTACTCAATTCACAGTGATACCTAAATTTAAAATCTTCACTCTTTCTAGACACAGAAGCTCTTTGTCACATGGTTATCACCTGAAGACAAATATGACAAAGGGAGCTTCTGAGCTCTTTAATCTCTTTCTCATCATGATAGAAATGGTCATCAGGGCACCTGGGTGGCTAAGTTGGTTAAGTATCTGACTCTTGATTTTGGCTCAGGTCATGATCTCAGGGTCGTGAGATCAAGCCCAGTGTCAGGCTCAGTGCTCAGCAAGGAGTCTGCTTGAGATTCTCTCTCTCCTCCTCCCTCTGCCCCTCCCAACTTGCACACGCACATGTGCACGCATGTTCTCTCTCTCTAAAATAAATAAATAAAATCTTAAAAATAGAAACAATCCTCATTTGACAGTCTACCATGTTTGCAATCTTAAAACAGTCAGCATCCTATTATGTGCACTATATAGTAACTTCCAAAGAATTTCAATTATATGCACAATGAGACAGGCAGGCCACATGTCATTAGGTCCATACCACAGTGCATGAACCAAGGTCTAGAAAAAATTGTGACTCCCTCAAAATCACGTGAAAAAGCCAGTACCAACTCTATCCTAATGAGATGGCTCATGCAAATCACAAAGCTGCCAAAAATGGTACCTAAACTATCACAAGTCATTCTAAAAGTCTTTTATCAAAAGGAAGTCAATCATTAAAAGCCTTTTAATTAGTGAATTTTGTTAAGACACTATTTTTCTTTTAAAGGAAAAAATCTATATATATAAGGGTAATACTAACTTAAGATATGTCAAAGTTAAAAAAAATCATGTTATGGTCCAGGGGGAGGAAAGGATGCTCTTCTTATAAAGTCCATTATTGGGACATCTGGCAAATTTGAATATAAACAATAACTTAGACAACAGCATAGTGTCACTGTTAAATTTCCTGATTTTGATAATATGCTATGTCAGAGAATGTCCTTGTTCTTAGGAATTACATGTTAAAGGATCTTGGGGTACAAGGCTATGATGTCTAAGTGGTTCAGAATTTAAAATTATACACATATATAGTGGTGAAGCAAATGTCACAAATGTGGCACATGCTAAAAAATGGTGAATCTGGGTGAAGGGTAGCTAGTTTTTGTACTATTTTTGAAACTTTCTGCACATTTATTTCAAAAAAGAGTTAAAAATTTTTCTAATCTCAGAATAGTTATTATGAATTTAAATTCAAATAGAAAATGTAAATATAGGTAAAAATAGCTGTAACATTAGTGTACTCTATTAGATTTTCTTGAGGTTCCTAAAAATATGATATCTTAAAAACTGAAGACAGTCTTTTTCCAGTGTTAATGGCAAGGGACCACCCAGCCTGTTATCTAAGAATAAAACAAAAAGTCACTTGACCACGTGGAATAAGCTCTGGGTCAGTTATACTTGATTTAAATGGTCCTAAGCAAAGAGTTTAGTTTCAAACTCAGCATACAGATGTTTTTTCCCCCCTCCGGAGATAAAACACCGTGAACAATATCCTCTGTAGGATCTAGCAGGAAAGTAACAACAGAAAAGAAATACTTTAAGTAAAATATCTCATGTATTCTGAGAGAGAGATTTCTGAGAATAGCTTCAATTGTATTGAGATCCAGGAAATAATTATAATAGAAATCAAATGATGGAAGCAGGCAAAAGAGTTTTTATATAGTAATACTTTCAAGGAAGTTCTCCACTTAATGGTAAATCAGACAAGTAAGCAAAATGCAAAGAACACTAGAAATCAATTGAAGGCCTACCAACCATCATTCTAACAATGAATCTAAATCTTCCAAGTATTCATATTCAGCTTGCAACTTAGAAATGATTTACTTTTCACTGGATCGACAAGTACTCAATTACCTGCTTCAACTACCTTTGACTTTTTCAGTCAAATCACCATTGACATTAAAGTTTATTCTGATTTTTAAAACAAAAATCCTTTATCCTCCTAAATTTTTTTTTTTTTAAGATTTTATTTATTTGTGGGAGAAAGAGAGAGGGGGAGCACAAGCAGGGAGAGCGGCAGGCAGAGGAAGAAGCAGGCTTCCCTCTGAGCAAGGAGCTCAACGTGGGACTCGATCCCAGGACCCCGGGATCATGACCTGAGCCAAAAGCAGACGCTTAACCAGTTGACTGAGCCACCGAGGCACCCCCAATTTACTTTCACCTTGAAACGTGTTTTGGTCAGAACTTTAATTTAAAAAAACATCTGCTAAATTCCAGAAAAGAAGAACGTAGTCAACTATAAACAGGTAGGGGTAGTCATGGTAGAAAGGAATAAAAAAACTATATTACACAACTCGAAAGTAATAAAACTGATAATTTAGGAAATGTCAGTACATATTATTATAGCTCAAAATAATTATCACTATTCCAATAATGCTGCCTTTGTTCAAAACATTTTTGGCAGTTTTCTTCAGAAAATGCTTCCAGTATCAGGCAAAAAGTTGACACACTTTAGGAAAAAAATGGGATTGCCAGACTTGACATCTTATTAATTTAGAGCAGTCATTAAAAATCAATATTTACCACTCAGGACATTCGTCAAAGAATTGACCACAAAATCTGAAGGTAATTCCAAAAATGTTCACATCTTTCTTAGTTTTATATTGTTTTCTATATTTTACTACTGTAAGCTTTAGGTCATATATTTAAAAATGAGTTTAAATTTACTGACAGCCTATGTTTCTTGGCACAAAAAAATTCTCTTTTTTTCTATTCCATAGTCCCAGTTTTTATTTTTTTGCCTCTCTCTTTTATATCCAAATAGTTCAAAACTCTCTTCATGTCTACTTCCCAAACAATTCTCACAGGACCTCAGAAAAGAACAAAGGACAACAGACTGGAAAGAGAAAATGAAGAAAGCCAAAATGGAATCAGGGAATTTTTTAAGAGAAAATGAGTAGAGGCTTCCCTCTACGAAGGAGAGAGAGAGAGAAAGACACACAGAAAGACACACAGACACACAGATGCACACATGCACGCCGGGCTAAGTCTTTTTAAAGCTAGTTCTCAGACTAAAACAATAGTATATGTATATACAGTTTTCTTTATCAACTGCATCCTAAACTATCACTGTCTGGATGAAGCCTAAAGATAGAAAGCAATGGTTAAAAAGCCAAAACCACTAAAATTCTGTAGTATCTTCTTCACAATCTGAGAAATTATTTCCTGACTTTCTGTATCCAGTAAGAAGTTTCATATTTCAGATTCTGAAAGGCACAACTTGATCTACATTCTAATCAGGCTGTGTCAAATTACATTATTAATACAAAATTAAGTTCTAATAGGCTGTGTCAAATTACATTATTAATACAAAATTAAGTTGTTTTAAAAATGAAATGAGAAATGAAAAAGATTTATTTTATATTCAGAATAAATATTATTGTGTTCAAATATGAAAACTAATCAGTTGGTATAAAATAAAATTTGACTCCTCTTTTGAAGTCAAATGATATTCCAAATAGTATAGTTCTAAATGTGTATAAACTTAACCCAAAGTCTTAAAAATCAATTGTAAGTCATTATATCCTTCTAGGTTACTGTGTTCTGTGATTTAAAAGGCAGAACTCTTTATAATAACAAGTATTCTTTGTAGCTGACTCTGGTAGTTATAATTTTGATAAAGCTTAAAAATTTGATCCAAACAAAGACCATTTAAAGTTGGTATACATACTTGAATCTAGGTTGGATTCTAAAGTGAGAATGCGCTGTTGCGTTTCCATGTTAAAGATGCTTGTATATCCTTTGCTGAATGATGCTACCATATGGCTTGGGTCACTGCTCACTAGATCCACAGAGGCAGGGATTCCCAATTCTAAGAGAGTCAGAACAGAGAGAATGGTGATTAGAGGGTCTACTTGAAAATGTCCTCATAAAATAGCAAAACAAATAGTCATAAGATTTTCTTAAGAATTAAAGAAGACTCAACATTAGAACAAAAATTAACTCATAGCCATTCAATGGACATTATTTGTTACTTTTAGCCCTTATTTTGTTATTCTTACCTGTTCAGCAAGTCTTCTGTTACTCAGCTAAAATATTCATAGAATGTAGGCCTTTACTCAGAAAATAAATGGAAAGCGTGTATGGACTGTAAGTTTTGTTGCTTCCACCTAACCGGAGGCTTAAACTGGCATGGTGACAATTCTTTATTTTAAAAGCCCATCTCTTATTAGGAATTTTAATTCATCAAAAATATGGAATTAAAAAAGTAAAATTTCAAATTATTATTATTGTATGTAGAGTCATACAAATATAGATGCAGGCAACTCATCAAAACCCAGACACAAGTTATGACAGCTCAAAAATAAAGAAGGTATTTTTATCTATCATCTAGAATAGGGTAAAACTTGGTTAAACTTGGAGTGTATTTATAAACAGAAGAGAATGATATGTATGAATATAATCTTTTGATATGGCTCAAAATCTAAAGTAAGCAAACAGTTCAAAAATGTGTATCTTACAGAAGAAGACAGATTAATGGCTAATGAGCACAGACAAAAAGTGCTCAAAATAATTAGCCACCAAACTAATGCAAATTAAAACCACAATGAAACACTGCTACAAACCCACCAGCATGGCTAAAACTAAACAGACTGACAACAACAGGTGTTAATAATTAAGGATGTAAAGCAACTGGAATTCTCATACATTGCTGTCAGTGGTGTAAAATGGCACAACCACTTTGGAAAAGCTTGGTAATTTCACATAAAGTTAACTACACACTTCTAACACCCAGCAACTCTACTTCTAGCTCTTTATTAGCTCATAAAAAATACATGAATGTTCACAGCAGCTTTGATCATAATAGTCAAAAACTGAAAACAATCCACATGTCCATCAAGAGGTAAACAAACACATACACTGATTTAATGAAATACTGGGAAGGACACAAAGAACTTTGAAGAGGTGAAAGAAATGATCTAGATCTGGAGAGGTGCAAAAGTTACGTATTTGTCAAACTCAACAGAATGTATCCTTAATATCTGGTTTTTACTGTATATAAATATCTCGATTTTGAAAAAACATTTTAACGTGTGCTCTTTCACCAAATACAGTGTTTTTAAAATCATTAAGCTGGAAATTCAAGCAAATATACTTCCATTGCTTAAAAACACTCCTTCAAATTAAATTTAAACTAACAGTTTGTAGACTCGTTTACTTATTTGCTTGTTGTTACAGTAAGACATCTTATAAAAGATTCATTAGAGCAACTTTTAAAAAGTCTGTACCTTGATTATCGTTAAATACACTTAGGGCTGGAGCAACCTCGGTTGTATTCCATAAACGCAGAGTGCCATCTGCTGAGCACGACAACAAGCGCTGATGGGCGGCACTATAAGCCAAGCCCCAGACGGCATCGGTGTGGCCGAGAAGAGGGCCTCTTAAAACAGAAGGATCTATACAAAACAGCAAGAATGCAAAATCAAGAGAAAATAAACAAATCCTAATGGTACTGAGATCCCAGAGAAACTAAATATACAGACAAAAGCGCCTGAGAACCGTATAAAACATGCTTCCTAGTTTCTGTTATTTTTCTGAAATGCTGCAATAACTAAAAAGAGGCCTGGAAATAGGCAAGTGTAGAGTCTAGAGTTTATAAATTAAAATTTTTAAGTATATATTTCTCTCCTTAATAAAATTAGGTATTTCCCTCTCCCCTCCTTTTCTTTCCATTTGTCTAGATTTTTTAAAAAAGCATGTTAACACACATCATTTGAACTTTATCCACCTTCAGAGAAGCCACAGCTCTTCCCTGAGGAAGTGAACAGAGATCCCTTCCTCCCCTGGCTCCTTCGGGCCACTTCTCCCCCCAGACCCCATACTAGGGATGGTAGCTATTCCCAGGAGCAACGGGCCTCTGCTATTCCGAGTGGACAGGAGCGGAGACCTAGAGGAACCCCCAAATCCTCCAAGAGCAATAACTGACATGTGAATGATGTGCATGAGAGGGAGGGAGGAAAGAGGAAGGGGGATCACTCAGCAGCAGCATTTCATAATACGAGCCCAACTGGAAACTTTCATTATTCCTCCACGCAGTGACTCTATGAAGCAGTACTTTCAAGATGGCTCACACACGTTAAGTTTAAAATGCCAATAATGTTATCTGTCCTCTACCTTCTCTCTGTCATACCATAAAATATTTATTGGAGACACAATGTGTCAGTGACTACGCTAGGTGCTGGCGCCACCCAGATAATTAAGACACAATACTATCCTGGTCTCAAAAGACGTTGTGGTAAGTATAATAATGGTGACAAAGACACCAGTTTCCATGGAGAGTAACTGGGTGAGTGAAAGCCTCCCAGAGAGATGACACCTGAAGTATACAGGTGGCGGCCAGTCAAAAACTAGAGGGAAGCCACTGCTGGCACAAGGACAGAAAGCATGACACGTCAGGGAATTTATGAGCTTATTCAGCCTTACTGAAGTGTGACGTTTGAGGCAGGAAGGAGAGGAGAGGCAGAGGGTAGTTAGTCTAAGGTGGGATTTCTACCACATATTAAGGTACTTGGAAATTATTCTGAAGGCAAAATGAACCACCGAAGGGTTTTCCAGGAGCAGCTGGGTGAAGTACATATGTAGTAAGGTAACGTTCCCTGTAGTGTAGAAGACACACGGGAAAGAATGAAGATGAAGGCAAAGGGACTGCTTCAGGAGACTGGGAGCGTGATGATGCAGACCCCAGAGAGGGCAGTGGTAAAAGGGGCAAGGCAGAAGGGGTAAATTCAGGAAAGAGTTAGGAGGTAATATAAAAAGGACTAGGTAATTAATAAGGTGTGGACAGTAAACAGAACAAGACAACAAGGATAACCCTTAGGTTTGTAGTGTGGGTAATTTTGGTGGTGCCATCACCTAATGAAGAATATATGGGAGAAGAACCACAGCACTTATGCGGATTTATGGGCAATGAGATGGCCACTTTGAAACGTTCTGTAGGCTTAAAGAAGAGGTTTATGAGTCAACAGCTTGTAAAACCAAAGAAGTAGATTCCGTTTACAAAAAAATATGTGTACAAAGCAAAGAATGGATAGGGTCTGGACCTTGATAAATGCCAATATCTAAGGTGGGAAAAATAAAAGTTTATGAAGGCTAGGAAACAGAAATTGTCACCGACTTAAGTGTCAAAAGAGCCAATAGCAGACAAATTTCAGAAAGGATGGAGTGGTCTACATTTTCGGACAGCCAATACATCTAGGAAAACAAGGACTGTAAAATACCCCTTGGATCAGCCAATGGGGCAGTCACTGACAATCTCGTTACACTGAAGTGGGACAGCCAGAAGCCAGAATGCAGACGGATGAGGCACGGGAAAGGACACGGACTCAGTAACTCCTGACTGCGTTTCCTAGTCGTTACCACCAAAGACACACAGATGGTGAAGGCAAGAGACACTAGACAGACACCAGAAAGGAAGACGGAGTCAAGAAAAGGCTTTCCCGTGCTCAGGATAGGAGTCACCTATGTTTACTTACACGCTGAGGGGATGGAAAGAGAGAAAACAGGGCAAGGTTTAAGGTAAGAATGAGACAGAGCAAGCGAGAGAGAAGCAAATGCAATCTCAAAAGAAACGAGGGAATGGGGTCAAGAGCAAAAGGGAAGGGCCGGTTGGCTTGAGACAGAATGAAGACAACTGATCCTCTTGACAGAGATAAAGGAAGTAAGGAAAACATGGAGAGGGTTTACCTTTCACAAAATATATGTTAAATGCTTATTAAATAAATGTGGAGAAAAATTTTTGTTCATTGAATTTCTTATCTTTACTTAGGTTTGTAGGAAAATTAGTCTGAAGTGGAAATGAAAAGAAATGTGGTTTTAGGACAAATATGACACTCCACACCATTCTAGAATTTAAGAAAGAACGTAAGAGGAAACCAAAAAAGTCAATTCCTCAATAGTTTTTGCAAGACAATTTATGGTAACATCTAGTGATAGATTATAATGTGGATTTACATTTCATTGTACTATTCCCAAGACTAAAAGGGCACTTCTTAATTTTTAAGGCCTTTCAAGTATTCTGGTGTCACAGAGTTTAAAAATCATTAGCCTCTACACAGTCCAATAATAAATGAACATTCATTTTCCTTCTGTTGTTTGTCAAGAATAGTAATGAACATGTAGTAATAGTAATGAAACATGATTACAGATTAGTAATAATGTATCAAGTAATGTACAGATGCCTAAAATGAAGAAAAAAATTGTTAATCAGGCCAGCATTTCCAATCAATAGAACTTTGAGGGGGGATAGGAACTGTTTTTTCAGGAATAACACATTCTTTTCTTTTTTCTAGCATATATATCAAATTATTTCCTAAATACAAGAGTCCTTTTTAACAAAATAAAGACCTTGTTCTCTATTACCAATTTACTTTTTTAAAATATCTCATTTTATCCTTATATATGCTATGTAAAATGTGTAAAAAGAAAACAATTTATTCTTTCATCTCTTCAGGGAAACACCTACCATAGGAGTCATAGGGATCGATGTTGGGGTTGGTGGTATTCCAGCCCTGGATCAGTCCGTCACTACCACCACTGTAACATTGCTCACCATTGCTGCTCATTACCACACAAAGCACTGGACCTCTGAGAGATAAAAATCAATTTCTATTCCCAAAAATCAATCTGATAATAGGACTTGTTAGAAATAAGAATGCTTAATTATTCATATGGCTTTCTATTTTTCTGCTTTCTACGATGAATAAAAATAGTATAAAAGCACTGCTCATTTTTCTTCTTCTGCTAAACCAGAGATTGGTAAACTATGGCCTGTGGGCCAAATCCAGCCAGTGGTCTGTTTTTATACAGTCCTCAAGCTAAGAATGGTTTTTACATTCTTTAAAGGGGTTATAAAACTAAGCTAAAAACAAGAATATACCACAGAAAATACATGGCCTACAAAGCTGAAAAAGTATTTACTATCTGACCCTTTATATAAAAAATATGCCAATCTCTGCACTAAATCAAGTGAATTAGTATATTTCTTAAGCTTACCTGGAAATATGAAAAGCATGCAATATGTGGTAATAATTTAAAAATTCTTCATATTTTTATCTAGGTTATCTTTAAGGAAAAAAGTCCCAATTTTTAATAACTAAACCTTACTGCATCAACTTATTTTAAGCATGAGATATATAACACTTAAACATCATCCAAATAAAATCTAATTTCAGCAAGGATCTCTGGTGGTGATAAACCTATTTTTAACACTGTATTATCTTTTTTACATTTACCAAAAAAAAAAAAAAAGAAAGAAAACCCAAAACCACTACTAAATACAAAAAATATATAACACAAATACTTAAGTGAAAGAAAATAAAGTACTCTAATCAGGCTGACGTACAGTGATGCTAACTTATAACAGAGAAAAAGCACATACTTACTTATGAGCCCTGAATGTATAGATAGGCTCCACATCAAGAGAAGTACTCCTAAATCAGAGAGAGGGAGAGGACTTTTACCACTCCAAGTTTCAGTAGTAAACAGTATCAATGAATATATGCCACAAAATTGCCTTTAGAAATACCAACACTGTGGTAATATACTGTTCTCAGCCCAGGACACTTAAGAAAGCTTACCTGACCCCAATCACATATTTTTATGGCCTCAAGAAACAAAATCCTTGTTTAGTAACAATACCTGCTTATAGCACTCTTAGCATTGTCATATCTATTTGACTATTTGAGAGAGCCAAACTCAGAGAACATCATCGGATTTGAGGAGATACATTTCTGGATTCAATTAACTGGCTAACTCCAGGCAAATTATTTATTCTTTTGGAACTTCAGATTCCTCTCTATTTAAAACACAACAGAAAAATTGGGATAACACCAAATACTCACAGGATTAAATGAAATTCTACAAGTCAAACAGTCTAGGACAGAACCACGGACACAGCAGGATTTCAATAAATGGTACTTGAATTTCTTTGCATTTCCATCAAGGCTAATATGTCTGTCCTCAGGATACTTGTAAAAATTGTCCAAGTCATCAGTTTATTCATTATTCAGAACACTGAATGTATAGATAGTCTATACTGCCTAATATTTAAACTGGATTTAAAGTCAATTACTTACCATTTCTTATATTGTATTAGTTTTTTTTATAGGCATATGATTGCTCTCCTCAAGCATTTCCAAAATGTTAAGCTCAAAGGTAAACAGGCCATGTTATTACATGTGAAGGTATTATTACTAAGCTATCACCAGCAAGATACTTGTTTCAATATTTCTCTAAGTTTTAGTCAAGACTATATGAGACATTCACATTCCCTGATCTAATGAGATGCCCACTGTGACCAGAGAACTAGAAAGACAAAAGGTACAGTTTATAACTAAGAAATAATTTTCCTCTGCTGACGATACCTGATCCATATGAGGATTCTCTTGGTTTTAGCAAGACCTGGTTGAGCTATCTGACGCAGACTGATAAATCAAGTATTTTATCTAGTCCATGTATGACTCACTGCGGGAATGTCACTGATCTCTTTTAAACTTGGCAATAGATATCCTCTATCAGTAGTAAAACTTTTGTAATCTCTTCCAGTTCATGTTCATTTCTACTCTTCCAATAACTGAATTGCCTGACACTGGAGAAGGGCCCATGCTGGGTTCTGGGCCACCTGATTCAAGGACACAAGGAGAAGGACCTCCAGTAAGCACCCCACCAAGTGGGGCTAAGACTAGCTTGGTGATTGATAAGAGTTTATACCAACTCATGTCAGTTCATCCTTAGAGAGGAACCAAGGGGCCAAGGCAAGAACTAGCAGTTATGCGACAGCAACAATAGTACCTTCCGTCTACACATTTTGGTGGGTATGGAAAGTACCTAAAGGGACAAGGCCAAATGACAAAACCAAAGAGAGGTCCCTCACCCCTCTCAATCAGCCTTCCCTCCCTTCCACATGGTAAATCCAAACCAAATAAACAACAGGACAGGGATGGGGTGAGGTTTGATGATTTTAAACATGCCTGCACCTCTTTACAACAACAGTAGAAACCTTCAGTATAGATAAGGGACTCCGCAAATATGACAACCATTTAAAACACTGTATAAGGATTGTAAATAGCATTCAGAAACACTGGGACACTATCAGATAATACATTTCTCTCTCAGTGTCAGTTTTCCAACCTACTATCAGATTGTGAGTATGAAGGGAAAAATTCTAATTATGTGACATGGTAAAAAGAAAGAACTAAAAGGGATACTTGAGAAACTGAGAAATTTAATAGCAAATAATTTAAGTATTTTTCTGCTGAAAAACTGATAATTAAAATACTCAAATACAGTTAAAGTAGAATATTCTCACTTTTTGGCTGGGGCTGTTTTCTGCAAATTCCACATTTTCAATGTGTGATCCTCTGACGCTGTTATCAAAACAGGCTCAATGGGGTGGAAAGCAAGGGCTCGAATGCCATCAAAGTGACTTCGTAATGTAAACTTAGGGTTCCATGTCTTCCTCAGTGCATCTTTATTGTTTGCTATCTATTAAAGAAACAAAAGAAAGATACCCATACATTTAGTTCAGGACAGGAAAAAAATTGTATTTCCACATTAATTCTTCCTGATTTGTCATTAAATCATCACATTTTGCAATTTGCAAAACAATATAATTTCTAAATATAATTAATAATCCAATCAACAGGCAAAATTAATAATATGTCAACCAAAAGTGGTTTTCTTTGGAGAAATATGAATGCTATTACAAGAAAACAGGTAACATAATAGAAAGACTATTAACATAAAATAGATCTTCACTAGGATGACTAAAAAAAACAAAAGACAAGTAATTTTCAACCTAAATCATAGTATAGAAACTAATTTGGGGTAAGAGCTAAAAAACTAAGTTACCTTTAAACCTGTTAACATTATAGAATATGATCATACTTCTGAGATTTTCAATACTTCCTACAAAGAGCTAAACTTTCATCAAATTGGCAACAAGGTTTATAAACTGGAAGCATAAAATGTTAACACTGGAAGAGATAATCAGATGTCATAAAACAATAGATTCCACTTGTAAAACACATCATGTTGCTTTTCGCCACAGAAACTCCAACCCAGCAACTAAAAAATGCACTTTTTTTCTCATTCCAACTATATTCCAGCTTTTTTTTTTTTCATTTCCAACTAACAGGAAAGCCAAAGAGGTTCATGTTTAACCTTACACTAGCACCACATATGAACTCTTCACACTCCACAACTAATAATCATGCTAGGTTTAAGCAAGAGTGGTGCAAGTACTGTTAACATACTGGAGAAATATTACCATATTTACAATGACAAAAACCAGCAACAATACTAACAATAGCTGCTATTATAAGCATTATTCATTATTTTGTACATTTTTTAAAAACTTAACATGCATTAACTCACTTAACTGTCACAACGACTCTAGGAAGGAATTAACATTATCCCCACTTTTCAGACAGTTAGAAGTGATTTGCATAAAGAAAAAAGTTAAGTGACTTGCCCTCTAGTAAGAGGAGTCGTCAGGATTCAAACCCAAGCAGTCTGGCGTCAGAGGCTACTCTTAATATAAACTAACTTAGGACCCAGAAGTTTAAAAATTTGCAGAAAAATTTGGATAGAGCATGTCATAATTGGGTCAGTAAGGAGACAAAATACAGGATACAAGGAACTACTATAAGAATTAGGGCTGGTTATCCTTGTGGGGGAGGCAGGGGGAGAAGTGAAATTAACTTTGACTCTTCTCTGCTCTTATTAATGAGCTGAAAGATTTTCATATGTAAGAACAATTTAATTCCTTCTGAATGTCTTAATGTGGTAGACAGCCACTAAGATGGTTCCCAATCAGCCTCACCTCCTCATATTTACACCTTGTGAATCCCCTTCTACATCATAGGGTTGCTCTGTGTGACCAGTAACACAGAGCAAAAACCTTGCATCCTGGGTGTTCTTGCTCACTCTCTTTTCAAGGGCACTCACACTGGGGGAAGCCAGCTGCCCTGCTGAGGAACCCACAGAGAGGCCCATGTGGTGTGGAACTAGTCTCCAGCCAACAGCCAGGAAGGAACAAAGGCCTTCCAACAACCACATGCATGAGCTTGGAAGCAGATCTTCCCCAAGTCAAGTATTCATTCAAGACTGCAACTCTTGCCTACATCTTGACTACAACTACGTGAGAGACCAAAACCACACAGCTAAGCTGTCCCAGATTGCTAACCCCCAGAAACTATGATCTAACAAATGTTGTTTTAAGCTGTGTTGGTACAATTTGTCACACAGCAATAGATTACTAGTATGTGTATTAGAACTGGAGACTACTTGCAGGGCGCCTGGATGGCTCAGTCAGTCAAGCGTCTGATCCCAGACAGTCCTGGGATCGAGTCCCGCATCAGGCTACCTGCTCAGCGTGGAGCCTGCTTCTCCCTCTGCCCTTCACCCCATTTGTGTTCTCTCTCAAATAAATAAATAAAATCTTAAAAAAAAAAAAAGAACTAGAGACTACTTTAAGAAATGCAGGTATAACACTAAGTTTTTTTTTTTTTAACAACTGAGAGATAGTAAAAAAAAAAGAGAGACAGAATGACATTTCTCTAGAGACATGACTGAGTTCCATAACTTATTGGATTAAATCTTTGTGAGGTATAGAGAGAACAAAAGTATCTAATGGGAACTTCTGCTTCTAGCTATGATGGACTAGATCATTAGGATCAAGTCTGCACTTGAGGACAAGTTGAAAACAGAGCTAAAAATTTTTAAGTGAAGAACCAGCAAAATAGTGAAGAAAAAGCAGACGAGAATCCAGGGGAAGACAGAAGTCTAAAAAGTCTGATATTTGGACTTTTTTTTCCCAGAGGGTGTTTACTGATTTCAGAAGGGATGGCTGAGAGGTCAGGCTATGCTTTTGACAGCTGCGCAGTACAAGGAGATACAAACCAGTGACTGTCAAGAAAACGCGGCTTGGTGAACCTCCTTGCTCTGGGTTTTGAGTTCAAAGGGCTGCATTCTTTTTTTTTAAGATTTTATTTATTTATTTATTTACTTACTTACTTACTTATTTGCGAGAAGAGAGGACAAGCAGAGGGAGAAGCAGGCTCCCCGCTGAGCAGGGAACCTGATGCGGGGTTCAATCCCAGTTCCCTGGGATCATGACCTAAGCCGAAGGCAAACACCCATCCGACTGAGCTACCCAGGCACCCCTGGGCTGCATTCTAGATAGAAGAGTTAACTAGAAGAATATAAGCCCTTACAGAGACTGTAGATCAGTTTAGATTACCTGAAAAATTGAAAATGGAATGAGATAATCCAGATTTCTAGTGGCTACAGACATCTGAAAGAAGCAAATTAAAATATACTCCCTGAGGGAAGATATCTCTCTAGGCCTGAAGTTATTTCTACAGACAACTTTTCAGGTATAGTTATTTGGACATAATAAAAAATAACCATGCCTATGCAGGGTAATACAGCATAAAAGAAAACAAGGCGATACATAATCATGCTTACTGTGTTCAAGAAGATAAAAGACAACATTGTAAATTTTGGAAGAAATCTATAAACAATTTAAAAAAAGAATTCTAGAAGCAAACAATATAAGACCTAAACAGATGGGTTTAATTACAGATTACACATAACTGAAGTGAGAATTAGCAAACCAGAAGATGGGTCATAAAAACATCTAGGCTGAAGTATGGAGAAACAAAAGATGGAAAATACAGGGAAGGGAGCAGGAGACAGAGGATACAGAAAGGTCTAACAATATAATTAGCGTTCCAGAAGGAAAAGAAAGAGAAAGAAGTGCAAAAGCAGTATTTGAAGATAAATGGCTAAGAATTTTACACTAAACTGATAAAAACATATTAAGCCAAGAAGGTCTAAGAACTTCAAGAAGGTTAAATAAAAAGAATCTAAACGTTGGCTGACATTCAAGACATAGGGAGATTATTAGAGAAAATAAAAAATCAGACTACCACTGAATGACCAGTAATAGACAGTTAACTTTGGCAGAAAACAATGGAAGAAAATGAAATTATATATTTAGAGTGCTTAAAAATGAAACAAAATAGAACAAAACCCTTGCCAAATGGAATTCGATACCAGAAATAATAGTTAACCTACTCAGGCAAAATACAGACAATTTAATAAAACCAGAAACTGAGGGAACTGGGTACCAGCAGACCTTCACCAAAGAGAAATATTAACTGTTCTTAGAGGAAAAGAAAAGTGATCCCAGATGGACAGTTAGATGTGCAGGGGGGAATAGAATAAAGCAAAATGAATAATGTAAAATGGATAATCCTAACTGAATACTGAGTGTACAAAACATTACCTTGTAGGAGATAAATGTCTAGAGGCAATACATAACAAGAATGACATATATGTAGGGTAGGAGTTTTTTTGTTTTTAAGATTTTATTTATTTATTTGACAGAGAGAGCACACACAAGCAGGGATGCGGCAATCAGAGGGAGAGGAAGAAGCAGGCTCCCTGATGCAGGGCTCAATCCCTGGACTCCGGGATCTTGACCTGACCTGAAGGCAGGCGCTTAACCAACAGAGCCACCCAGGCGCCCCAAGGGTAGGAGCCTTTAAGTAGAGTTAAAAGTGTCCTAAAGGTCTTTGCATTAAAATTTTGATAAGGATATGTGTGGTAATCTCTAGGGTAACAATAAAAAGAGTAATGAAAGAGTGCATCATATCCAAATAATGGGGTGGGGGTGAATAATGAAAAATAATCCCAATACAGGCAAAAATAGAAAAAGGAACACAGAATAGGTAGCACAAATAGATGGTGGACTTAAATCCAAATATTATCAGTAATTACTTTAAAAAGAAATGGACTCAATGCTCCAATTAAAAAGGTTGTCAAAGATTAGATGAAAAAACAAAAGTCAACTAAATGGGTGCTTTTACACATACAGACGTATGGATGTACATAAGGATGTAAAAATAGAATTTTTTTTTAAAAGCCTGTATCACATATGTGGAGAATGGGGAGCAAAGAGACCATTTAAAATAGGTTATTGTAGTAGTTCCATGTGAAGAAGAAATGAAGTTGGATGGGAGGTAAAAAAAAAAAAAAAAAAAAAAAGCTATGGATTTTAGCTATTTTTGGAGGGAGAACTCAAAAGACTAATAGCCTTAGCAAGAAAAGTGAGAATTTTTGATTTGTAGGAAGAGAAGTGAGTGGTGAGGTTGCTTTTTGGAGTACTCCCTTCTCATATCCATGGTCTGCTTAAGCGTTCTTCCTACATCCCCCATGTGGCAGGAGCTATACTGTGTTCTCCAATAAAGATAATGAAGTATCAAAGTTGAGAGGATTTTAATGAAGGTAAGACAGATTGTAAACACTTTATAAAATAAGCAACTGTTTTTCTGACAATTTATTGTCATGAACAATTATAAATGTATTTATAAAACAACTGTGTTAGATATTAAATAAAGGAATGCATGAATAAGGTATCAAGATCTCAGTTTTGGTCCAAAAATCACTGATGGGTCTGCCTTAACAACTGAAAAGCACCCTACAGACATCCCTGCCTAACAATAGCTAAAATCATTTGTAGGCAGGATATTCACAGGTAATGTACTAAAGAAGAAACACAAATATTGCCATTGGGCAAGCATGAATTTCAACTGATCACTGGTACCCTAAAGCACAAACCCAAACTTGGTAACAGAAAGGGAATTTTTTTCCCTTATCTAAAACCAATAAACAAGCTATAATGACTTATGGATTTAGGCAAAGCCCATAATTTTAATCTCTATCCAATGTGAAAAATATGATCATTTACATAATATATTCATATTTTCAAAGTTTCCAATTAAAATGGAACCAAAGTCTATACTTGTGAAGAAGTTTGACCACTTTTTCTATAAAGTTAACTTTTTATTTTTAAGAAATGAGAGAAGAACAACAAAAATAAAACCACGACTCACATCATAAGTTAGTGAATCTGCTTCATTGGCCACCGTAAGGCCTGCCAATTCTCCAAGTCCCAGTTCACTTTCAAGGGCTTCATCTGCTCCCATGATAAAGGACTTCCCAGAAGAAGGAGGAAAGGTCAGTGCTTCCACTGCCGGGGGAAGACAAAAGAAACATAAAAAACCTCTGAAGTGTAAACAATTATCTCATAAAGACATGTCTACATTTATTCTTAAGTGCTTTTAAACACAATAAAATTCAGTTAGAAAGCTCTGAAGAACTAGCTGCTTTCTTTTTTATTCTATTTACTTATTTGAGAGACAGAACACACGTGCATGGGTCAGAGGGAGAAACATACTCCCTGCTGAGTGCAGAGCCCAACAAGGGGCTCCATCCCAGGAGCCTGAGACCATGACCTGAGCCAAAAGCAAGAGTCAGATGCTTAACCGACTGAGCTACCCAGGCGCCCCAGAACTGGCTGCTTTTTCTGTATCTTAACCATAACTAAAGGTATCATCTAATTAGAAAAGCACAACATGAAACAAATCCAATAGACCATTGTCCTTTCTTTTTCACAAAAAAAAATAAAAACTAAAAAAAAAAGTAGGCTTTCCTCATTTGATATTTCTTGTTAATTACTCAAATTATTTCTATCAGTTATTAAATATATATAACAAGCGATCTGAACACTGCTGGTCTCATTCAAAATAAAACTGTTTAATTCTATAACCTGGAAGAATACAGAAAATTTCAAATGAAAATGGTTACAACTGTAAAATGTGCCTCTATGAGGTAAAGTTAATGCTGGTGTTAGAAGTCAGGATTATGACTGGAGACAGGGAACGAGCAGTGATTTGAAGCGCAAGCAGGACTTTCAGGGCCCGGGTAATGTTCAGCTTGTTGACCTATAGGCCGAGGTAACAGGGCTGGGTTCACTTTGTGATGATTCACTGACCTGCTCCCTTACAACTACAGCAGTTTTCTGCAAGTATGTTGTATTTCACTTAAAAGGGTTTATTTCAAAGAAAATTTTTTTCACTGTACGTGGATTTTTTTTTTCAAAGATATTTTTTAAATAAAGTGTCCATTTGAACATTTTCATTAGCTGCTAACTGTGCTTCAAGAGGCCAGATTTTCTTTGTGATTAGTGAAAATATCTTTATAACACTGAACATGCCAATCCAAATCCTTCAGTCACCATCACATAAGAACCAGTTAAAAGCAAAATGCCAAATGAAAATAGGAATTTAATTTGATCAACAGTAAACTGCTGATTTTTATAAATGCAAATTATTCTAGCAAACTGTCAGAGGTGTCTTTGAGTAGTTTTTTAGAGGTGGTTACTTTACTAATGAGAAACATTTATAAGTTGATTACATGAATTTAGTAGTTTAAACTAAAGCTGTTAAAAAAAGTAAATTAACTTTTTCTTAAAAGAAACAAGTCAAGGGGCACCTGACTGGCTCAGTCAGTTAAGTGTCCTCCGGCTTGATTTCGGCTCAGGTCATGATCTCAGGGTCATGAGATGGAGCCCCATCATGCTGGGAGTGGAGCCTGCTGGAGATTCTCCCTCTCCCTCTACCCCTCTCCCCACTTGTTCTCTCACTCTCCCAAGAAAAGAAAGAAAGGAAAGGAAGGGAAGGAAAAGGGGAAGGGAAAGGGAAAGGGAAGGGGAAGGGGAAGGAGAAGGGGCAGGGGAGGGGAGGGGAGGGGAGGGAAGGGAAGGGAAGGGAAGGGAAGGGAAGGGAAGGGAAGGGAAGGGAAGGAAAGACAAGTCAGTTACTTAATGGAAAAAACTGGACTTAAAGGTGCTTTTCAGCTTTGGATTCAATTATGTAAGTTTAGATTCAATCATAAGTATTTGTTGAAATGAAAGAATAGTTATGGGTTTTAAAAATAGTAGAGGCAGACACTCTACTTAAAACCCTTTAAGAACAAAGGAGAATATAAATTAAGACATTTTTAAACCACCATACAATAAAGCAGCAATAATAAAAATGGGTTTTACCCAAACATACCACATATCTTCTGAGGGGTTTGAACAACTCTAACATTTACTACCGAAGAGTGGGGACTGTTTAAGTTAGAATGGCAATTTTCATGCCAAAATTTCAACAAAAAGACTCACATGAGACTATGAGGCTGGGTCTTCAGCCAGGTATTTTGTTTGCTTTCATCTCTACTGTTTCCAGACAACTTTGTTCAGGTGTGAAATAAAAATGATTCTTAAAAAAACAAGACTAAGATTCATGGGATTTGAGCATACACACTGTTTGGGCTAATTTAAATAATGCTCTAAAAATGACCAAGTAAAACCTGAAAACAAAGGAAGGCAGCAACTCCTTCCACCACACACCACTGGCTAAGCCACCCGACCTGAGGGCCCGAGAGAGAGCAACCATGGGCAGAACTCACTTGACTGCTAAGATGCCCTAGAACTTAAGACTATACATCACATTTCTATCTGGTAACTAAACATTACTAGCTCTAATCACCTCTAATCAAATTACTGAACTGTGCCTCTTAAGTATGGCACTATCTTCTGAATTATTAACAAAATAAAGTAATAAACATTTATAGCACACAAAGGCTATGGACCCGTTTTCTGAAACTAAACTGGAGACCAAGAAGCATCAGTCACAGACAATTAAATACACAATGTATTTCTTACATACTTTTTCTATTGCTGAAAACCTTACACTGAGGAGGAAAGCTTAGGACAACCAATGTTACAGACAGTAAGCTAGATAGTCAACCCTTCAGTTTTAAGATTCTTAAATATTTTTTTTCTTTCAAGGGCACTTTCTGTGGCTTATGTAATGCTTTTGTACATTTGTCATTTAGTATATAGTACTTAGTCTACCTCTATTATTAGAGGTAGATATATAATATAATATATTATGTATATTATATATAATAATTCTATTATTAGAATTCTAATATATTATATATAATATATATAATAATTCTATTATTAGAATTCTAATATATTATATATAATATATATAATAATTCTATTATTAGAATTCTGTAAGGTGAAATCTCTGATAAAACTCTTTAGGAGTTATCAGAATAAAGGAAGAACTAACTTTTCTCCTTATCTGGACCTCATCTTGGAGTAACTGAAACTGATTAAAAATTCTCACACTGATAGTGTCAACTGTTTGTATCTCCTAGTGAACAACAAACATACCTAATGTTGTTCACATCTTTCATTCAAAAGACATGTCTACATCAAAGAAATTGTACATTTAGACTATAAAGGTGTAATGTACACGTCTTCATTATTTAATGTATGATTAATAAATTCCAAATGTACTATAATTAACTCTAATAAATAACTAACCATGTTATGGTTAAAAATTTCATTTAAAAAGTACTCCAACCATAAATCTGTCCATCAAAGTTCTATCAGTTTATGTCTCTTTAAAATGTAACTGAATTTAAAAACCAAGAAAGAAAAACACTTAATGATTTTTCTGTGGCTTTTTCCTGGGCTGTTTTGTTCAATCAAAAATAATTTAAAGAGGCATATTCACTGCAAATAATTACAGTATTTAAATTCAAGACAATTTTAAAAAATAAATTTTGAAAAATATTTATTAATCATTAATATTACTTTTATGTCATACTGGATTTTTAGCTACTGTAAATATATATATTAAAATCAATTTCTACATATAGGCATTTAATACATTTATAAACAGATAAATCAGAACATCTAACTAAAAGACACCTAATATGGTGCTATAAAAAACTAGGAACCTAAATTTCCAACAGGGAAACAGTTAAGTATCAAGTCTAAAATAGAAATATGTAACCTTAAAGTTATAATTATGAAAGTTATTTTTGTGGGATTATTCTACTTGGGGACTATAACTTTGTAAAAAAAAAATACACACATTTGGACAAGGACTAAAAGGGAACAAAGTAAAAACAGAAAGCAGAAAATGTGACTAGACTTTCAGGTGTCTTTCTTCCTTTTTTCATTTATCAGTGACAAACTGCTTAAATAAAACATTTGAAAATATTTATGAGTCTCAGAGTAAACATTCACTACCTATTTATGCTTTTGTACATAAGTACAAAAAGTACAAAGTGAAGTAAAAAGTAAAAGTACAAAGTAAACATTTACTACCTATTTATACTTAATTTTCTCATTGTTGCAATGGTATAAATAAAACAGCCTATGTATACCAAATATATGGCTTCTGTAGATCCAGGGGATGTTCTAAACTAGAATTCAGAGTTGGTCTTTAAGTTTATGCACCCTTTCTTAAGTCTAAAAGATTGAAGCTGGAATCAAACTCTCTTGAATGTAAGAAAGCCTACTTTGGGGGGATACTATGTAGATCAAACATCTGTAAAATAAAATTCTTTTCTTAAAGAGTCCTTCTGAATAACTGAACTTATATAGTATATCCCCATACCTTTTGTGCTCCAGTGTATCTTTTTTTTTTTTTCCTTAAGAGGAGAGGAAGGGGGGTGGTGCAGAGGGAGAGGGAAAGAGAGAATCCCAAGCAGGCTCCACACCCAGCATGGAGTCTGACACGGACGGGGCTCAATCTCACAACCCTGAGATCATAACCTAAGCTGAAATCAAGAGTCGGACGCTTAACTGACTGAGCCACCCAGACACCCCCAGAGGTCTTACATACTTACCTTCATCTGCCCTATTTATTTCGTGTTCAGGAAGCCTGGAGCTGGTGGGTCTGGAAGGTGAACCCACAGATGGCTGCAATGAGGGAAGTTCATCAACATCTCTCAAATTAGCAAGCATATCTTGTAGTTTTGACCTATTGGGCCCTAGCCCAAAAACAGGGAGGAAGAGAACAAAAAAGAAGAGAATTATTCAACTGCATCAAAATGGTGCCACAAACCTTATTCACATCTACCTACATTCAGCTTTAAAATTACCCTACCATATTAAAAAGTAATTACTTTCCAAGTTTTCAAATTATTTTAAAAGTTTATTTCTTGAGAAGCATTATGTTTTACATATATTTTAAAAATTAAGCTAAAGGAATAATATTGCTATTTGCATGAAAAACAACGTTCATGTGCAGTTTGAACCATTAAAAATCGTATTATTCTATAATCCTTGTATATTACTCTAAATGCAGACAGATACCATGGACTGTGAAGCTACTGTGTACTGCATTAAACAATAACATCCCTTTTTGTTTGTCTGTTTATGTTAAGTTGCATTCATTGCCTTACATCCTGAAACTATGGTACCCGAGGTGAAATCTCACGCCCTACTGATTACTTACCTGAGCTTTGATTCTTCATTCTCCCACATCCCTGTTTTGACTGTTTTATATAGGATAGAGGCTGAAACAGATCTTCGGTAGTTTTTCCTGTTACAAGTTTAATTAAGAATGGGAAAATCTTACCCATAGTCCATTATGGTTTTTTTTCCTATACCAGCAAAGAATACAACTACTTTTAAGCAATTTTAACTAATACCTAGAAATATATTTCAAGACAGTATGATTGGAGTACACAATTTGACTGGAAATATTTCTACTAGACCATATCAAAAGGACTTGATCAAACTTTTCCAATGAGTAATTTTTAATTCAATTAAAAATATTTATGGTGGTTTATAAATCCATGCTTCATATATCAAGTCAAAGCTTTGCTTCAGTTCTGTTTTTATGTCTTCACTTGTTCCCAGATCACCATTTTATTAAGACAACATGAACTGACAGCAATAAACAAAATGTGCTGAGCCTCACTCTGCAGTCCTTCTATCCTCAATGAAACACATTAAAATTTCTCTCCCTGCAGTCATTTTTCTTCATCATACAAAAAAACTATGTGCTATATGCCTGCCTAGTGATCATAATCCCCAGTCAGGAAATCCAATAGCTTCCATCAGTAGGAATACTGTTCCAGTCAAATGGTGCCATTTTAGATCTTAAGTGCTAAATTCCAACTACAGCAATGCCTTGATATTTGACAAGAATTGAATCATCAATATAATAGTAGGTGGATTCTACATAAGACCTAGATATCCTTCCAATTGCAAGATGTTTTACATTTGAAGACTTTCATTATTGCAGCATAAGGACTTAAAGAAATACCAACTTTAAGCCAATCTGAAAATTAAAATATTCTTTCTCATTTGATATTTGCATTGAAATTTCAGTATAACTGGTTTTGCCATGGTCTGCAAAATGGTAATAAAGCATGTCTCATTACTGTTTAAGATTAAATTTTTTATCCATACATTTGGATAAAAGGTACAAAACGCTCTTAAGTTTTAACATTAATCTTTCTCACTGTGATTTAATTTATATTGAGGAGGTATCAAAGAACATCATCTCAGTTATGTAATAGTTGGTATAATGATAACATCAAAAAATAGTCACCGACTTTTTATCCATTCAAGCTAAATACTTGTAGCACCTAAAATATTTTTAATAAAGATTTAAATGTTTATCAGTAATGACTACACTACTTTTTCCAACTTTTAAATACAGGTTTCACTAAACTGGATTTTAATCTTACTTTACACTACTTTAATAACCCAAAGGATGCAATTCCTTTTGCCATAAAAGGGAAACCCATGTTCATATTGTCAATGAGAGTGGAAGCACAAGGAGGTAGTTTAGCCTTGCTCTCCTAAAAAGGGTGTTTTAGATGGTGTTCAGGGATGCTTGAAAGACTTTGTATTTCCACTTTACTTTAATTAGTTCTACTGCTAAACCTAATAATTTGTATAATGAATTTTATATATATATATATATATATATGATTCACAGGGCTAGCAATTTCATTTTAGCTTCCATTTTTGATATGGTAGACATCTTATTAAAAAAGAAAAAAGCTAACTGATATTACTATAAATGAAATTGGCCAAAATTTTTAAATTAGAAAATAAATACTTTTAAAAGTTGTGTATTTGACTCTGTGCCCTGCATAGCATATAGTGGTGAAAGCAAATGAACTGTTTGTTATGAACACAGAGAATATTCAGGGGTAGAAATTAACTTTGTCTCCAAGTCCAAAAATAATATGCAATAATTTGGGTGGATTGCCAGAGGGTCATACTAGATGAGATTTAAAATTGTCAACAGTGAAAAAGCATTGTGGTAATTAAATATATATACTTTAAAAATGAAATTATCACTATGTTTTGATTATATAGTCCCACACTCTCATGAGGCTCTAGATGTATTACTGGGATATATTATGGTTCCATAATCATATGCATGGTTGTTATTTTTTTAAGATCATACTCAAAGAGCTAACCATTTAATTTCAACCCCTGAGAGCAGGTGAAAAGGAAAGAGATCAGGAGCAGAAAAGAAAATGAGTAAGTGGTTTTAGGAAAACATTGAAAAAAAAAATTGGGGGATATAAAAGAGGCAAGTTTCATGATTTACAGATACAATGTTTTCCACTTACTCTTCACCCCCTTTTTCCCCTTTCTCTCCTTTTTGTATTGTTCCTTGAGTTTGGTAATTACTCCCTGGTCCACATTCCAGGCTTCAGGCATGAGACACTGGTCTTCCTTTTCTAAATAGAGTGAAACAAATGAAACAGCCTTTTTAAATAAGATATTGAACACTGTAAGTCAATTCACTGTTATGTCACTGAATGACATAACAACCATTTTGTTCATCGTATCACTAATTTTAAAAAGTCATTGCTTATTCTTTAGGTGTATAAGTCATACAAAATATAATATCTAAGAAACAACAATCAATTCAATTTCCTAGGTAATAAGAAATTTCTCTTGAAAGAGACATAGAAAAAAAAACAACCCTAGAAGATTTGAGTGACTTTTAGTAAATTAAGCCCAAAAACTCTAGAAGAAGTCCTCATTTTCTTACTCAATTAGGACTGACTCATAAAAAAATTTCTTATTAATTTATGTAATGAGAGATTATTAAGAGATTATACAAAACAGTCTTCAATAATCTTTTCATTTTACAAATTTTATATTTTTGGCATGTGTTCATCAACTAATGATCATTTTTTTTTTACAGGCCTTATAAATAGCACTTTGTTTTTTTTTTATTTTCAAAAACAACTTTATTCATGACACATATTAAAAAAAAACTCCCACCCCCTGGAAATGAGCTAAAAAAATAAACAAAATCCACCTCCCACCTCCCTGTTCCCACTTCCTCCCATTCCCTCCAAATAAAAGGGAAAAAAAGGCAAAGGAAAACAAAACAAAAAACGCCCCCAAACCCCCCAAAACAAGGTAGTGCATTTCCCCAGGGGGTAGGAGAATTTACACTGGAGCCGCTGGGAGCGGAACCGAGATCTTCCGGCTACAAAAACCTGCAAAGAAAGACACTCAAAACAGAAAAAGAAACACAAAAGGAAACAGAAGAGAACACCAGGCAATCTGGAGGGGCAGGGAGCCGGAAAAGAGGGGTGGGGTGGGTGGCAGATCTAGCAGGACAGGAGCAGGTGGAGGGGACTGTGAAAGTTAGGGAGAAGATGGAGGGAAGGTTAACAAGCAGAACAGTTTGGCGTCCTTCCAGAGCCCTGGGTAGAAAAACCCCTCCTACCACCCATGCCCACCTACCCTTGAGCAGCCCCCAAGGGGGTGAAGTGGGACAGGGAAACAAGGGGAGCAGCCTGAGCAGTTGAGACGTGTCCATGGCTAATCCCCAGAGTGAATGAGCAGCCCCCTGCCCCACTCCCTGGGCCTTCCCCTACTCCCCAAAGCAGGTCCCTCCTCAGCAGTTAGTTATGGGATTCTCCCCCCTTCCACAGTATATCTTTTTTTTCTTTTAAATTAAATAGCACTTTGTAAACTTATCAGTCAACCTTCATTCAAAATTTAAAGCAATTTAAGTGATTTGTTTACAAATTCATAAACAGGAAACTGAGCTCCTAGTAGATAAGAAATTCAATCATTAATTTTCACTATTACAGGAGAAGAAAATATAAAGAATGTGTTATATATTTTATATTAGTGTAAAATTACTTATATACTATATAATGCTATGTTTTAGCTCAGAACTCTCACTTGAATTCAAGACTCATATATCCAACTGCCCTAGACTCTACATTTCCATTAGAAAGTCTAACAGATCTCAAACTAAACGTAAAAAAACAAATTCCCAATCTTCCAAATCCAGTGTTTCATCATCCTTCCATTTGCTCAGACCAAAAACCTCCCTTTTCTTCCATATTTCACATCAAGTATTTCACAAAATACTGTTTTTTCTATCTTCCAAACACATCCAGAAACTGACTACTTAGCACATTCTCTACTTCTCTAATCTCTTAGTCTCTTGCTAGAATTACTCCAATAATCGTCTCCTCTCCCCTCACACCAAGACTATTATCAACACCGGATGCTCTCTCAATAAAGCCAGAATGATGCTTTAAGATCAAAGTCAGATCATGGCACCCTTCTGCTCAAATTCCTCCTGTGGTTCCCCATCTCACCAGTGGTCTATGGCCCTACATGATTTGGTCATTTCTTACCAAATTCCCCCTTAGAATCACTCTGCTCTAGCCATTCTGATGTCCTTGAATTCCTCAAGCATATCAAGGCTGCTGCTATCTTGGGGCATTTGCTGTGGCTTTCTTTTTCCTGAATATTTCTTCCCTGGAAACCATATTGCTAACCCACCAATCAACTTTGAGTCTTCTGTCCAAATGTTACCCCCCCTCAATGGGACCTACCCCATTACAATTTTAAATTGTAATCTGTCCCCTCCACTTCACCCCAACCCCAGCACTCTCTATTCCCCTTACTCTGTTCTACGTTTTCTATTTTCCATAGCATTATCACCTTCTGACATGCTCTATCATTTATGTTTATTAAAGCTTATTGTCTATATTCTCTTAGTAGCCTATATGGACCACAGGGGTAGGGATCTTCACCAAATGATTTGGCACATACAAAGCATTTGATCAATATTTGTTGAATGACTGGAATAAACCAAAATGAATCGGAACAAATAGGAACCTATTTTTAACAAGTTAAATTTCAATCTACAGGTCAAAAAACTTAATTGGGCTCCTGCAAAGATTAAACATAATAAATTTAAAAACTCAACATTTTTATAGTTCTAACTATAATCTATCAATAATAAAAATAGTTTCTACTTTCCCAGAAAGATCTAACAATTAAAAATATTAATATTTCAGCAATCAGGTCTTATTAATTTAAACTGAGTAGCTTTTGGGTGCCTGGGTGGCTCAGATGGTTAAGCGTCTGCCTTCGGCTCAGGTCATGATCCCAGGGTCCTGGGATCGAGTCCCGCATCGGGCTCCCTGCTCCTTGGGAGCCTGCTTCTCCCTCTGCTTCTCTCTCTCTCTCTCCCTCCCTCTCTCTCTCCTTCTGTCTCTCACGAATAAATAAATAGAATCTTTGAAAATAAATAAATAAATAAACTGAGTAGCTTTTGGATCCTACAACGTCTTCAGTTTTTTAAATTAAAAGTTAAGCCTTATTGTAATCTTCACTATACTCACAACAATAGTAATGGAAGATCATGTTAGATGTGTGGTAAAATCTATTTACTTGCCAGAAACTAAAGAGATTCTTAACCTAGGCATATTCACTCCTTTTTTAAGGGGGAAGGGGAAAAATAAATAAAGCACTTAAAATGGTTTAAATGTCCATTCAACTAAACAGGATTTGCAATCTAGTTCTTTTAATTGCTTAAAAGTGAAATTTTCTGAATATGAATAATAAAATCCTAAAAACACACAAGGCTAAACTCCTGATAAGGAAACCTCTAGTCAACTGAAAGATTCCATTCACTCATATTCATAAATACCCAGTACACTACTAAAGAGTAAGACAGCTCAAAGGTGGGACCAGTCACTCATGTTTTCACCAGTAACTTCCTAGGAGGTTAGCTGAAAACGTACACACACGTATCATATAAACTCCGGGCCATGACTCGCACTATAAAGCAAAAGAAGTGACACAAGAAACAATGCATCTGTCTTTGGAGAGAAATGAATCACAAAACCCTTGCAGTAAGACTGGCAATGAAAAAAGCCAACTATTATTTATGCAGATGTATGACTCCTCAGAGAAAGACTTCTGTGTAAACAGTGGATCTAGCTATATTGGTGGAACTGGTGTCTAAAATATCTGAGTAACTTGATAAATAAACTCAGTAGTAACAATACAGAAAAGAGATTTTACTTCAACATCCCCTTGGTTTCCAAACTTTGTTCTGTTGCAAAAAAAATAATAATAATAATTATAGTCACTTTACAGCCATTATATATTTCAATGACTAATTGTCCCGTATAATTACCTTCAGATATTTGCCACAAAAAAGGAAAAGAAGTGGCTTTGTTCCTTGACTACAAAAAATTCTCAACAGGTATTTGTGTTCTCTGAAGCCAAACTGATGGTATTTTGTGATCCACAAGATGTTGGGTTATGCATAAATTATTAAGAAACTTGGGTTTTTACTCCCAGAATATGATGTTCATTCTTAAGAAACTCTGCAGGATCATGTATTGGATAAGAACAGTTTTGTAAGTATGTAAATATGTCATAAATAAATAATACCTCAATTTAAAAAAATAATAATAATTAGTCACTTTATGACCGTTATATATTTCAATGACTAATTATCCTGTATAATAATTACCTTCAGATATTTGCCACAAAAAAGGAAAAGAAGTGGCATCATAGAGTTCCTGAAGGTAAAGCCCCAAGGAAAGCCCCCAATTTAAAACCAGGATAGTTACTGATTCTCTAACTCTGTCTTTAAAGAACATAAAACCACAACTAAGGGAGTCCTGGAATTCTTCAATCTCAACAGAAAATTTTCTCTCATTCTCAATATCTGTCTCTCTCTCTTCCTCACTCATACTACATGTACACACACCTGCTAGAACTGATCACTTTTGAAGAATTCATCACAATCCTACCTTACTGATAGCAACAATTCATTTCCAAACCCAAAGAACAATCTATGCTGTAGAAGTCTTCCCCCAAATACTTGTTTTACCTCATTAGATGTTTAAAATATTAAATTTGTTTAGAACAATTTGCACCAAAAAATTCTATGCCTTGCACAAACTGCTGAAATCTGCCTAGATTGAATAACTATAGTTTTTTAAATTTATACTTCTTTTTCACAGAAGATGCCAGAGATGAGTCTCTAAAAACTCTTCTATTACATTCTCAAACTCAATTTCCACAAAATCCAGATTTGCAAGTTCTACTATCTAGGCAGGAAACATAGAACATTCTGTGTATGAATTCAAATTATTTTCATGGTATACTGCTCATATTAAAAAAAAAAAGATGAGATAACTAGTTGTACAACTTCCTTTAAACATGTACACACAGATATACACCCTGGATAAAAGGTGACAACAGTAAAAAGTTCATAGGATGTTCAAAATTTCAACATTGTAAGAAATTTACAGTGTTCTTCAAGATGTTGCCCTCCTGGTAAAATACTAGTTTCTTTTGTTTACTTAACACCTCTGGCTGGATCCAGTATGCTTCCTTACCCCATTCTGTTCCATCGCCTGCACTTCTAGACTCATTGTCTCCTTCCTCTGATGTAACCAAGAAGTCAAATTCCTTTAGAGCTTCTTTTGTATCTCGATCTTCACTGCTATCAGGTAATGCTTTTTTCCTAACAATCTAATGAAAAAACATGCTAAGTTAAAATTTTAGGGTATATTATGAAATTAAATAAAGGAAAACAGTATCCTTTTTTTTAATTTTTTTATTGTTATGTTAATCACCATACATTACATCATTAGTTTTTGATGTAGTGTTCCATGATTCATTGTTTGTGCATAACACCCAGTGCTCCACGTAGAATGTGCCCTCTTTAATACCCATCACCAGGCTAACCCATCCCCCTACCCTCCTCCCCTCTAGAACCCTGTTTGTTTTTCAGAGTCCATCGTCTCTCATGGTTCGTCTCCCCCTCCGACTTACTCCCCTTCATTCTTCCCCTCCTGCTATCTTCTTCTTTTTCTTTTTTCTTAACATATGTTGCATTATTTGTTTCAGAGGTACAGATCTGTGATTCAGCAGTCTTGCACAATTCACAGCGCTCACCATAGCACATACCCTCCCCAATGTCTATCACCCAGCCACCCCATCCCTCCCACCCCCCACCACTCCAGCAACACTCAGTTGAAAACAGTATCTCTTTATCACTGAATGAGGAAACCCAATTATTGGCTTCTTCAGAAAGTATACCTTTGTAATGTTAAATAGCTATAATACTTAACGAATTCAATGTAAAACAGGTATCATTTAAAAAAGATATACATTACGCATTTTAAAGTAATAATTTAAACTTCGTTCAAGGATGGCTTGTTTTGAGTAAGCTAATGAAATCATATATTGAAAACACTGGAATATAAGATAGGTATTTAAATTATAAATAAATGAAAAATGTCCCTGACATACTACTGTACTATGAGAACAACCATACCCTCATATTTCTTGGATGCACTGTGCAATGTACAGACATTCTAATCTAACCAAAAAGAGAAACACTTCATAAAATACAAGAGTTTTACAGAATATAACGATGATAAATGTTAACTCTACTACATAAGTCCCTTAAAAAAATCTAAAATTATAAAAGCTACAAACTCATAAATGCATGCCTCAAGTCTCAGAAAGTATGGTATTAGAGAAGGAAAAAAACTTCCCCCAGTACTTCTACTGTTCCAACGTTGCATCAGTTTTCTCTAATAACTCTATATATTCAAATTTTTTCTAAAATACTGATCTTTCCAAGTGGGACTTGACTTAGATTCAATAGCAAATCTGATAAGGGCTGTTATGTCTTGTTTTATGTATTTACGAATATCGCTGGAATCACAAATCCAGTTGGAGGACTGAAATTTAGGCTTAATGTATGCAGAGATAATTTTTGAGATCTATATGTCAAAACTCTGTATGAAATTGTCTTCTTTTTAGTCACCTCCACTACCAGAAGCCCAAAGAAATTAGGATGAATGGTTTGCAGCTTCTTTTGATAAAATGGATTCACTATCTCAGCTTCTCCGGGCCTCAGCTTCTTCACTTCATGCAAAATGGAAATAGCATGACCTGATCAAACTTTATCACTGAGTTACTGCAAGTGGATTAAAATGATAAGGGTTCAACAAAGTGATCAACAGGACAGAATACAGAGCCTAGAAACAGACTCTAAGAGATAACAAATACCTGACTTGTATGCCCCTGTTCTCATGCTCATTCCTGGTATCACTTACCAATCACAGCACTTTTCATCTAAGATCAGATACAGCCTCAGAAATCTTTCTCAGTGAAACAGTATGGAAGTTCCTCAAAAAGTTAAAAACAGAGCTACCCTACAACCCAGCAATTGCACTACCCAGTATTTATCTAAAAGATACAAAAATGCTGATGATTCAAAGGAGCACATGTACCCCAATATTACAGCAGCACTATGAACAACAGCCACATTATGGAAACAGCTCAAAGGTCCATGGACAGATGAATGGATAAAGAAGATGTGGTATATATATATACAATGTAATATTAGTCATCCAAAAATGAAATCTTGCCATTTGCAACAACACGGATGGAGCTATAGAGTATAATGCTAAATGAAATAAGTCAGTCAGAGAAAGACAAGTCTCATATGATTTCACTCACTTGTGGAATTTAAGTAACAAAACATGAATATAGGGGAAGGGAAAGAAAAATAAAATAAGATCAAAACAGAGAAGGAGGCAAACCATAAGAGACTCCTAACTATAGAGAACAAACTGAGGATTGCTGCAAGAAAGGCAGGTGGGAGGATGGGCGAAATGGGTGATGGGCATTAAGGAGGGCACTTGTTACAATGAGCACTAGGTAATATATGTAAGCGATGAATCACTAAATTATATTCCTGAAACCAATACATTATATATTAACTAACTTGAATTTCAATTAAAAAAAAAATCCTTCTCAGTGTAGCACTCCAGGAAGCCACTATCAGAAGAAAGCTGGTGCAGTAGATGAAACCTAATCTGCCTTCACTACCCTGGTATATATAAAAACTGAATAGGAGAAATCAAGGATTCTTTAATGCTGCTAGAATAACTGGTTTAACTATTTAGAGTATTTCCCTAAAACCTAGACATACTTTTATGTTTACAGCATATTCCAATCTCCCATCCAGCAAATCTATTTTTTTTTAAAGATTTTTTTTTATTTATTTATTCATGAGAGACAGAGAGAGAGAGGCAGAGGGAGAAGCAGGCTCCCAAGGAGCAGGGAGCCTGATGCGGGACTCGATCCCAGGACCCTGGGATCATGACCTGAGCCGAAGGCAGACGCTTAACCATCTGAGCCACCCAGGCGCCCCAGCAAATCTATTAAACAAAAAAGTTTGACCATACTGAGTACAGAAAACCCATGCTGAAGGTGTATTCTTTTGTAACTATATGCTAATAGTTTTTTCTAATTTTCTCTGGGCAGCCAAACTAAGGCAGAAAAGTATCCCTGAAGAGTTATACCAATAGAAGACGCTGATCTTCATTGTTCCACAAATAAACACACTGCCTAATCCATCTTCTTTCACCCTGGAGGCTTGATTTCTCCCTTCCCCCAACCCTGATGGGACACCAGATATGAATTAGAGGGGCCATCACCAACACCTTGTAGATAGAGAATTCTTGTTCTCAGTGCCTGATGAAAAGGGCAGGGAAAATACATTAAGTATCTGGAACCTTATATTGAAAAGCTGAATGTATTTTCAACATTCTAATTACTAAATATGGTAATAAGTCACAAAGCTAACTCCTTGGGAAAAAATCTGTTTCTAGGTGTCTCCTCCATATAACCTTATGAATGAAGATATGGCAAGTTGCAGGCCACTTTCCATCAAGTCTCCCACTTAAATAAAACCTCCTGTGTTTTTAATGGTTAGGTATAGAAGAAAAGTGTGGTTGCCAACAGAGAGTAGGATTAGTAAATGGGAAGGGGTGGGGTTTGTTATAATAAGTATATATTACTTTTCCTTACATTCCAGATTCTACTCCACTCCTACCCCTAATGAGTTTAGAAGCCAACTTAAGAATTAAGGCAAACACAAAAAAGTTATAGGTTGCACAGGGTGCCACAAAGATTAGAAAAAAGGATAGAGGGCCACTTTGGTTTTAAAACCATTAGAAGAAACAACACAAATGGGGATGACACAATAGTTAATGATTCTTAATCCCATTCCTTTTCCTCCTAAAGTATCTGAATGTGGAGACTAAATCTTGCTGGTGAAGTTATCCTTTAAACATTTTAAAGTTGATCACTTTTTATACACATGTATAATTTCAAGATCATTATTACACTTAACTAATGATACTATGGTGAGAATGCAAAACAATGATGGTAAAGAAAAATAAGGTGAAGAGGTTGATCATGAGGAAGGAGGAGACAGAGAGGAGGGATACGATCCAGAATATAACCCAAAGAATAATCAAACTCCAATAGAGGGTAGAGAGCAAGAAGACAGCATATGCAGCTACACACAAATGATAGTTACTAACAGCCTATGTCTCTATATTTTTAGTTGAATCTACCAAACTATTTTGATTAAAGAAATAAAATAACAGTTTAAAAACCTGTTTGTTTTACTCAAGATTTTAATTGCAATAAATCTTTTAAGTCATACTTACTCATTGCTACATAGAGTTAGACTGTGAAAGTCCTTTTGGTATGTAGCTATTAGCCTGCAGCTGTGAAAATTAATGTAATATATCCTAAAACTTAACAAAGCTGTTACAAAGAAAGCAATTATTTGTTTAGGGATATTTTTTCCTGAAAAACTAAAGGATTTTTGAGTCCATGCTTAAATGGGGTTAAGTATGTTTATATTAGCTATGCCTTCACTGCTTGGTCACAGAATTGCTATAATCTGCACTAACTGCAAGACAGGATCTTTATGAATTTGATTACTTAAAAGAAACCAGGTTATGGTTAGGAATTTCTAGTAAGACCATACTTAAAGCATGATAATCAATTATCATTTACCACTGAGCTATGAATAAAGTATTTTGATGGGAAAATAATATCTCAATGCACCTGGCCCACAGAAATCACAAAGCAGTACAAAACTTCCAAATGAATAGGACAGAGAAAAAGTATCATACAAGTTTAGGCATTTTCTTTTACTAGAGTAAATTAAAACACATGCTATTACTACCTGTTTGGATAAGAAAAATTGGGGGTAACTACTTGAAGTTCAAATAATATCCATGGCAAGGCTATATCAGCAGAATACTACTGCAGAGTGGCTCAGGGAAACAATAATCTGGAAGTAATAATTTGAGAGTCTCTGATGGAAGCAGAGGACATAAAGGAGAGAAGTTATACCCAGAAAGCATATCATTTTTCACATATAGCATCTCATTTATTGCTCACAAAATCCTCGAAGATAAGATGGGTATTTATAATCCCCATTTTACAAACAAAAAACTAAGCCTGAAGGGTAAGAAGCACAGATAACTACTGACAGAACTGGGACTTAAACCCAAAGCTTTCAACTCTAGGTCCAGTTGACTTCACTACCTTGCTTTCTTCCTTACTCTTCTTAAATAAACATGAAAGAGGAAATGTAAACATTTTCCTAGACAAAACAAAGCATGCCCTCATCTATTACTTAAAGAGAGGAGGAGGAGGAGGAGGGAGGAAGGAGAGAGAGAAGAGAGGAGAAGGAAGAAAAAGTAGGGAGAAAAACGGAAGAAAGGAAAAAAAAACAAAAAACGAGGAGGAGCTGAAGGTGACAGAATGGAGAAGAGAAAGGAGAAGAAGCAAGAGACACCTCTTATTCCAAGAAACTACCATGGGAAAGTCAATAAACCTATAAAGATCTAAACAAAACTACAGAATAACTTTAAACAAGTTTGAAGAAATCTAATGGAACAGTTCTAAAAATTTGTAACATTTGTCTACCAAAGCAACCCAGACAAGAAAGACAAAACTGCATCGATTAGAGGGGATGCCAGTCGCCATCAGGTACCATAATGGGTCTGTCAGTTCTATTGTCTTATAGCACCAACAACACTGCTTTGTTATAACACAAACATTTTTACCATATTCACCAGCTCTATTGAACTACTAAAATGTTTAATGAGTTAATAAATCAAAGAGTGAGGACCTTCAAAAGATTTTTTAAATTTTTGTAAGTAATCTCTCTACCCAATGTGGGGCTCGAACTCACAACCCCGAGATCAAGAGTCATGTGCTCTACCAACTGAGTGAGGCACCCAGGTGCCCCAGAGAGTAAGGACCTTTTAAGAGAAAGCTGCCATCCTAAAAATATTATTGAATTTAAACTCAATACTAAAAACTCTTAGATGAAATTTCCCCAAATTCATGAAAAAAAGTTAAGGATTTTGGTTGAACCAATGGATTTTTTTTTAATTTTTTTCACTTGGATTATTTTTAAAGTAACCATAATGATCCCTAAAAACATTAATATCTGTGTATCCAACTCACTGTTGAAGTATCAATGATGCTTTTCTCTCTTCCATCAATGTCATCATCTTCATCTTCATCACTGAAATCTGCAGCTGCACTTTCAAGGAATTTGAAATTATCCAGCACGGAGGCAGAATCTGTTAACTCGGATTTTCTGGTTTAGAACATGTACACCTTGCTCAGTTAATTTTTTAAACTCAACATAAGAATTAATCTATATGTTGCACTAACTTCTGTTTACATTGTAACTATGATCCCTCAAATCATATTATGAACTACACTGATTCTTATCCATCATATTTCCATGGATTTTAATTGGCAAAGCACAACAGAAGTGGTTACTCTTTTAAAAGTACTTTGCAATCATATCTATTTTGGTTAATGTAATATAAAGAACACCCCTCTTGATTCAGTATTCTTTTGATCCTTAAGTCAACTTTAATGTCTTTCTTTTTAAAAATATTTTTCTTATTACCTCTACTTCTATTTTTCTTAATTCTTTTCCTCTCTGCAACTCTTCCTCTGACATGTGAATTTCTATAACTAAGAAAATAGCTAGTAGATACATCAGTTTTCTCTGATACAATCCTATATTTCTACTGAACAGCTAAGGAGTTGAAAAAAACAAATATACACATAAAGCTACTAAAAATAACTTAAGTCAAACTAATATTACTACAAAACTTGATCCTGTTAATGAATAAACCATTAATTTTTTGAAATGATTGACTTTTCAAATACATAAGATTTTAATTTGGTTTCCTCAAAATAAATTTAGTAAATAATTTCCTAATGGCCAGAATAGGATGATTTCTCTCCAGTTCATTAAGAAATGTTTTAGATAACAAGGCATTTTCTTAAAGAAAATTTAGCCACAACTCTAGACAACATTTCTAAGATAAATCTTAAATTTCAAATCTGGGGAGAGCTATGTTTTTGGTATCTTCCACCGTATTCTCTATCCCTACACAAATGAGACAGATTCGGAATAATACCCTTGTCAGTTCCAAAAGACAGGTCAAGGGCAAAACACAAGACAACTCGAGTGGCCTTTTCTGAACATCTTTATAATGACTTATAATAACCCTGTAGGTAAAACTATAACCAGGAATAAGGCCTACATTGTCTATGCCTACACAAAGAAACAATCTAATCTTACATTTGTATAAATAAGTTAATGCAGTCTTAAATATTAATGAATATATTTAAGAAGGTTCCAGTGACATTTGTTTATAAAAGTTCGTTTATAGGAGTCCAACCTATTTTTGAACCTTTGCCTAAATCCCATAATTTTAATGTTCCAAATAACAGAAATGATGTTCTCACTAGAAAATGTATAGAGTTCAATTAAAACCATTCTTATAGTCCAAACATGCAGTAAAATGAAGAAAAATAATATTCAAACAATAAAAAAAACTTAAAGAAAAAAAAGAATTCAAATCCCCCCCAAAAAACACAATCATGCCAAATTTATTTTCAATAAAGAATGTCCTTATTTAACTACTCATGTTCATTTTAAGCAGAATTACATATAATTGTATGACACATGATCCAAAAAGCAAAACAAAACATTTCAAACAGCTACTGAATTTTTCACACTTATTCTATCAATTAAAAACATACACTTAAAATAGATATTTTTCAAAGGAAAAGATGAGTTACGGTATCATTAAATACACAAATGGCTAAGAAAACATTTACTTCTAAAAAATTTGAGGAATTTATAGGATTTTTAGGTCACCAGGAATGAAATTACATTCTTCTAAGATTTGAACTGAATCTCCTAAAGATGATCTTTTGTGAAGTTCTAATAGTAAGTGACTGAGCTTCAAGATATTAAAATCTGTATTAAACCTATAGATTTCAAGCAAATAAAAATATCTTTAAAATATTCTTAAAATAATCATAAATAACTCTAATCCCTATGGGTTATCTTCTACCAAATGAAATTTCAATTTTTTAATTCAACTTTATAATAAATCATTTCTGTAGCAGTATCTAAAATGCAAGTATCACAAGTATGACCCATAAACCAAAAATATTTAATAAGCACTAAAATTTTAGCTAAAACTTTCTAGACAGAATACTTACCCAATCATTGCCGTCTCTTTAACTTCGGCCTCTGTGCCATTTATAACTGAATCCTGATTTTTGTCATCTTCCCTGTCAGTGACATCACTTGAAAAGCCCAACAAAGCTCGCACTCGTTTAGATTTCACATCTAGAATGGTATCTGTGTAACCCACCTCCTGTAGATACCTGCGTGTGAAGAAGATCCTTACAATTCAGTCATATTGGAATCAGTATTCTATAACTTAATATGTAAATAAAAGTATTTCATTAAATTCATTGCCTGCGTAAGACTTAACAGTACAATACTATGCTAGTAAGATGTGCTAATAAATAATCTTCCAGCTGCAGATGGAGCTGTCTCTTGCAGTACCAGCCTCTATGGTCACTGAAAAAAAAATCAAAGAACTATACAATACACCATTCACTACATTTATCATAAGAAGAAGCTGTTCCTTAATATACCTAATAGCACATTCTTTCTTCTAGGCAGCAAACTCACTCTCAGATTCTTACAACAGTAATTATTATAACCAGTAGTTTTTTGTTTTGTTTTTTTTTACATTTCTGATATAGAGAGTTATTGAATCGTTTGAGATCCGGAGAGGATATTTCTAGCATATTTGGTTTCCTCCATGACACACAAGAGGAGTATATTCCAAAGAGTCATTTCTACAGAAAGGAAGCTTTTATCCTGAGACAACTCTAAAATAAAAATAGCCCACAGTTCAACTGTGGATGTGGGATGCCTGTGTGCACCTGGGAGTGTGTGTTACAGAGAGGCAGCAGAAGAAAAGAGAATAGGTTTGTACTGAGAACTAGATCTGGGTCTAAAGCCCATTTCTGCCACTTTCTTCCTGTGTAACTTTAATTCTCCTGGACCTCAGTTTTCTTCCCCCTAAAAGTGACACACCTCGTTTAGTGGATGACATACAGAAGGCACTCAATATCCATTAACAACAAAGATGACCAAAAAAGACCAAAAGGAATATGAAAAAGGCAAATGTCATTACTAATGCCATTAACAAATGTGATAGACAAATATTAGGCATGAACCTGTAAGTAAGCAGCAAATCTACAACATTAAGGAGAAAACAAAGGTGGACAAGATAACCAGTCTGAGGTCAGTTTATTTCAACATCTGGTATTAACAGATTACAGCTCAAAGACATATTTCACAAAGATATGTGACCAAAGCGGAGTAAGTGTACCTTATCAAATCAAGATACTCATTTTTCAATACTGATATTTACAGAAAGGTTTTGATTAAAATTTGGACAAGAAATGTTTAACTTTCTTGAATTTAATCAGTTCTTACAAACCAACAGGTTTTTCTGTTCTAAACAAATATTTGATACATATCTTTGGCAACAAAATCACATTAGAGATAACTGTTTCAAAAACCGCTCTTTCCATAGGTAAGTTGGCTTTACTAAGTAGCTACTTCCTTAATTCATTGATAAAATGTCACCTTTACTTTAAAGAGACAGATTTATGAGCCTTTTAAAGTTTTTGAAAACTATCTCAGATTGTTTACTACAGTAACTACTTCTCATAAAAAAGAAAATGAGCACTTTAAAAACACATTTATGAAAGAAAAATGTAATACGTCATATTTAAGACCAAGGTGAGGGCACTAGGAAAACCACTTATTAAATGTTAGTGAATTCTCATTTTTTTCTAACACTGACTAGATAACAAATACATAAAAGGAGACATTTTAATATTCTCTTCCCATTAGGCAAAAGGAATGGCTGGCACAAATCCACTCTGGAAACCACTGGCGCAGACTACTCACAGGAAACTCAAAAATCCAAAAAAGCTAAGTACATTTCATTTTAATGAAGCACAAATCAGAATACCAATTTCAAATGTGATATGCAAGGATAAGGCAGTGAGCTGGTTAAGTGGGCTGTAGCCTACCACCTGACATGTGAACCTCATTCCAGCTTTGTTTCCTCTTTATAGTCTCAAATACACATTTTATTGAAGAAACTACATGGTAATGCAGCATTTGCAAATTTGGGAAATTAAAGTTCTTCAATCTATTTAAAATAGGAAGTTAAAAAACATTACATAAAATTACATCTAAATATTGATTAGACTTACATTAAGACATACCTATGTTCAGGTATAAAAGATGCAAAAGGTAACTTTAAGGGTACAGAATTCCTTTTAAAAAAAAGATTTTATTTATTTATTTGAGAGAGAGAGAGAGAGAGAAAGCAGAAGCAGGGGGAGGGGTAGAGGGAGAAGCAGACTCCCCGCTGAGCAGGGAGCCCAATGCGGGGCTCGATCCCAGGATCCTGGGATCATGACCTAAGTGGAAGGCAGATGCTTAACAACTCAGCCACCCAGGTGCCCCTAGAATTCTTTCAAATGTAAACATAAGTGTATATTAAAATTTAGAAGCTTAAAGGTATACTCTTTAAGTTAAAATTATAAAAACAGAATTTATTCTTGGTAATTCTTATTAATATTTAATGAAAAATAAAACCTACTACAGAGGAAAAAATGTTTACTATGAAAAATGAACAATAATTCAATTAAGCTTTTTCACAGCAGCAGTCTAATAATAAAAGATAAAATTATTGAGTTGAAAATGCAAAAAAAAAATACATATATATGTATCCTGATGAAAACAGACTTTTCTTTGTTTGACCACGGGATACTTACTGTCTGAGTAGTTGTCGACCTTGTTTCCACATTAACTGGCTGTTTTGCTGTGGCTGTACCTCTGTTTCATTACCTTCATCTGGAAAACATTAAATCATAATAAAAGTACCTTGTTTTATTCATTAGAGGGCATCTCAATTCATAAAATATGTCCAATAAAAATTTATAAGATTAAGAATATGCAAAACTACACTGTAAGGTATATTTTAGGACAATGTATATTCTGTTTTTTTAATCTAATTTCCATAACAAAAATAATACAGATTCATGATTGCTACTAGATTCCCCTGAGCATAGGAGAACTAAAATAAAGACATTTTCCCAATCTCTAGTAGCCTGAGAATTTTCATCCAGGACAAAGACCTATTCAAATGAAGTCACACAATAAGAGTCAAATGAAAGTACTATGGAGCACCACATCAGAGCTAGAACAAAGCACTCAGGAATGATGACAGAAAAGCCAGTTTGGTAAAGAGTAGATAGGAAAGAAATAACTTCAATCCAAATCTATTTCCTTCACTAGTTACTAAAGGAAAATTTCAAGGATTCTTTTGAAGACATTCTTTGAATGAAAACACCTAAGAAATCTTGTAAAGCTTAAATGCATCATTTGGTAGAAAGTGAACCCTTTCAAGAGGATAGTAAAATAAAAAGAGCCTCCTCTGTGATAAATCTGGACTACAGAATTTCCAAACTATACTCTGATTAACTTTAAAAATACAAAAAAGTTCACACTTTCTATCAGCCCTTGATCAAACTATAAGAAACTGTGATCTTTTTACAGGGTTTTAGTCACATGGAGATGTAAGAGAGACTGGGAAAATTTGTTTTATGATATTGATGTTAAGCGTTTACTGTGTTCCAGATGCTGTGTTAAAAACACATTCATTATCTCTTTTAATCTTTACCACCTCAAAAGATAGGTGTTATTACTATCCCTATTTTAAAGATGAAAAAGATGAGTTTTACAAGTTAATTGTATGATTTCCAAGTTAGAAACACAGTTGTAAGTGCTGAAATCACGTCTGACTCCAGAGCTCATGTATTTAAAGAAATATGTAAATAAGAATGAGATCTTCCATTTTCATTTTTCTCTTAAATTAATTAGGCCAAGCTCTGTGATATACCAAAGAAACAGCAGTAGACCAGACTGTGGCAGGAGGATTAAGTTATCTCAACAAGGTAGATTACTTTGGGATAATCTCAGAAGGTATATACTTTAAAAAGGGGGCAAAAATAATGTCCCCATACTAAGGAGAAACAACACACATCTTGTTTCCATTGACCCACAAATTCAGGAACTACGGTTCACAAATGGTTCCACAAATTCAGGAATATACTAAGGTATGTTCTAATGTATCTTCAGTCAAGTAAGCTATACTTGCCAAGTAAGAATACTTACACTGGCATTTTAAAAGACTAAAAATTTCATATGTGAAGGAACTTTTGAGGTCATCTGATTTCCCATCAGTATAGGCCTCTCTATTCCACCCTCAGATATACTCAACTGCCTTTGCCTACTTTGGAAGCTAGTGATGTTACCAAAGTATGACACATACACTCAGTGGAATACTACTTACAAGGAATGAACTATAGATACACACCAACATGAATGAATCTCAAATGCATTATGCTAAATGAGAAAAGCTAGAATCAGAAGGCTATATTCTGTATGATTCTCGAATTCATATGACTTTCTGGAAAAGGCAAACTATAGGAACATAAAACAGATGAGTGGCTGCCAGGGGATTAGACTGGGGACAAAGGGGTGGACTACAAAGGGCAGTAGTAACGAAACTGTGTTTGTGAAAACACTAAAAAGGTGAATTTTACTTATGTAAATGATACCTTAATAAAAAATAAATTAAGCCAAATCAAGTAAGAATGCATCTTCACCCTCTTTAAAAAAGTGTATCCATGTACTGAGATAAAATCTGACTCCCTGGGTAACATGTTTTAAAAAAAAGTCTGAAGTTAAAAGAGAAAAAAAACTTTTGTACATGTGAACTTGATTTTCCCCACATTTCAATATTCAAGCTAAAATTCACAGCTCTCTCAATCAACTATCAGATTCACTCTCACCTTAGCAAGTTTAAAAAAAATGACATCATACAAAAGTGAGGATTTTAAAGTGGTAAGAGTTGAACTGCTTGGCAATAAAAAAAAGTAGTTGACTGGTAGTTCCAGTCAAGTTAGAGTAACAGGGACCCAATTTACCCTCCTGCTTGAAACAACTATAAAACAAAATAGATGAAATCATGGTTAAGACCTGATGTCAGACAACAAAGGACAACAATCCCTGAGAGAAAGGAAACACACAGTGAGCCCTGTGATTATTCCAGCTTACTGCCTTGACAGAGTTTCTAGATTGTGGCATAGGGAGGGGAACAAAAACAGTATCTGAGGAAAGAATGGCTGAAAAGTTGTATATTTCATGAAAACTCTAAATCCACAGATCCAAGAGACTCAATGAACCCCAAGCACAAGAAACATTGGGGGGGGTCACCTGGGGACTACACGAAAGCACATCATAATGAAATTGCTTAAAACCAATGACAAAATGAAAAATCTTAAAAGTGCCAGAGAAAAAGGTCACATTCTGCATACAGAAGAACAGAGATAAGTTTGATAGAAGATATCTCATCAGAAACAATGCAAGCAAGCAAAAGAAAGACTTTCTCAGACACACAAAGGCTGAAAAAACTCATCAGCAGCAGCCCATATTACAGGATATGTGAAAGTCCTGAGGCAGATGGACTATGTATGACACTAGAAAATATGGATCCACACAAAGAATGATGAGCACTGGAAATATATACTTTTTATATTATTTAAATCTCTTTAAAAGAGGATTGACTAACAAAAATAATAATATAGTGCGCGACTTACAATAGAAGCAAAATATGTGAAAACTGCCAAAGAGAGAGATAGAAATCCATAGTTACAAGGCTCTCATACTATAAGAAGTGGTATATTGTCACTTAAAGACAGACTGCGGTTAAGTTAAAAAAAAAAAGTATACCACCAAAATAGCAAAGAGTTATAGCTAATAAGTCAGCAAGAGATAAAATAGAATGATAAAAAAAAAAACTAGATTATCCCAAAGAAATCCATGAGAGGAAAAGGGATCAAAGAACAGACTGAACAAACAAAACAAAGAGCAAAGGGGGTAGCTTTAAATCTAACCATATCATCAGTCACATTAAATGTAAATGGTCTAAACATCTCGATTAAAAGAATTTGTCACTCTGTATAAAAGTATTCTATTTTTAATATGTATGTGGCTTCTAATATTAAATAAAAGAAGCTAAAATATGGAAGACAAATAAATTTTAACATAACCTGGGGTAAAATTTCCTAAGGTAGAAATGTAAAGGTTTGGATATAGAATAAAATTGGGGGGGGGGGAGGAGTCAGAAGGGAAACTAATTTTATTGTGAAAAATGTCTCAGAAAAAGTCTGGATTATCAGTTTAAAAATATATATATATCGTAAATGGATAAAAGAGCAAAGACTAGAAGAATTCCTGCTTCTTTAAAGTTTACCCTGTTTGGATACACCACCTTCTACCCTCTCCTGGTCACTGTCCTCATCACTGTCACCCACAAATCCCTCAGTAACACTTGGAACTAGACTTACACGCTTCCTCTGCAACCAAACGTTTACCTCATCTTGAGCGAAGTTAATATTCATGCCTCCCCACAACCACCACCCTCTCTAGCTGTCATACCTTAGATCTTGTCATTATGAAGAACAGACGCAGATGCAAACTCTCTCTCTGAGCGTATTCTTCAGACTCATATTCCCACCTCACTAGTTCTTTCATTTAGCTGGGACCTTAGACCAGGGGCCAGCAAATTACAATCTGCAAGTCAAATGTGGCCTGCCATACTCATTCATTTGTGTGTTGTGGCTACTTTTATGTTAGAATGTCAGAGTTGAGTAGCTGCAACAGAGAACATATGGCCTAAAAAGCCCAAATATTATTATTTGGCCTTTACAGGAAAAGTTTGCTGGCCTGCTCCAGACCACAGCCTATCCCCTCACTTCTACCCATTAGCCTCCTTTTGTCTTCACTTCCTTTCCTCTCTAGTTTTAGTTCACAGTCTATCACTTCAATTATTCTTCAGTCTATGTCCTCAAATTTCTTGTCCCTTTGGTCTCTCCATGAATTCAGTGAATTCAACTAGGAACTATTTTCATTCTATTTAATTTTTGTCCAAGCTGTCAAGTATGCAAACCAATGCATCTATATAAACTCATGATCACAATTGTCAACTGGACCCTTAGCTTTTTTCTCAATCCTACCATTTGTTATCAGTTTGCCCTCCTGCTCATTATTATTTTATACATTCTCTACTTTTCTTAAACCTATTATACATTCTTAGCAGGTAATCCAGTCTTACACATAAAGCTATCATATTAAATACCCACCACCAACGTGAAACCCAAACCTACAAATCCATCACCTAACTTCTACATTCTTTCTTGGGAACAATAAAAGACATGCTCCTCCCACCATTCTCCAGCTAATTCAGAATCCAATCTCTGTGCTTCTTCAGATACCTTCCCATTCTGAATATGTCTTCTCTCTCCTTTTTATTTGCTCCTCCTCTAAGAAACACATCACACACACACACACACACACACACACACACACACACTTTCCTTGACCCCATGTACACCCTTTCAGCTCTCCCTCTCTTCCACCTTCACAATCTAAGCTTCCTGACTTACAGGTAACTGCATTTAGTCTTCATTTTCCACTCATGTCTTTGTTTCTATCCTTACCTTTCTCCTAAAACCGCCCACAGTAATGACCCATGTGTCACTAAATCTTTTTTAATTATTATGTTAATCACCATACATCATTAGTTTTTGGTGTAGTGTTCCATGATTCATTGTTTGAGTATAACACCCAGTGCTCCATGCAGAACGTGCCCTATTTAATACCCATCACCAGGCTAACCCATCCCCCCACCCCCCTCCCCTCTAGAACCCTCAGTTTGTTTTTCAGAGTCCATCATCTCTCATGGTTCGTCTCCCCCTCCGATCTACCCCCCTTCATTCTTCCCCTCCTTTTTTTTTTTTTTTAACATATATTGTATTATTTGTTTCAGAGGTACAGATCTGTGAATCTTAAAGCTACTCTTTTTAGAACCTCTGGTTGTTAATCATAGTGCTTTAGAGTCCTTATTTCTGGAATCCCTCTCTTCTCCTGGTTTCCATCCTACGGTTAAGATAATTCTTATCATTTCCTTTTCAGCTTTCTATTCTTCTACCAGTTTTTTAAGTGTTGCCATTTCTCAGGGCTCCAATCCAGGTCCTCTTCTCACCCTGAATAAAGTCTGGAGTGGGAGGTGGGGGGGGGGCGCCTCTTCCTCCTCCACAATGACCTGACTGCCTTTGGGACCATGTGCTGATGCCTCTCAAATCTATGTATCAAAGCCACACCTCTGGTTTGAGCTCCAGCCATCTTCACTTGGTTGCCTAACTAATAAATCCAAAAGTGAACCCATCATCTTCCAAATCTACTTCCGACCTAGTTTTGAGAACTAGAAGTGTGGGGGTCATCTTTGAATGTCCCTTTTTTTCATTCCCTACATCGAAACTGGAACTCATTCCTGCAGATTTTACACCGTATTTCCTGAACACGCCCCCTCTCTCTTCAGGTCCAGTCAGTGCCCTGTCAAGGCAGCCTTCCTCATTTAGCCAGGAGGCTGCAACAGTCCGTTCACCAGTCTCCCTGTCACCGATCCAGCTGCTCTCTGATCCACCTGCTACAATGCTGCCTGTGGGATCTAAGAGAAATCTGATCCTTCAAATACGTTCTCAAAACTCTTAGGATAAAATGTAAATTCCTTAACATATTTTACAAGACCGTTGTAACATACTTTACCATCTGCCCTCCCCACTTCCCCTGCTAATTCTCTAGCTCCATCTAGAAATACTCCTTCCCTCCCTCTCTCTACTAGCCAGTTATTTTATTTCTCAAATGTGCCAGATTCTTCCCCCTGCCTTTCTCCCACCTCTCATTCAGCAAATATTTAGTAAGTTCACTTTCCCTGGCCAATTCTTACTTGTCCTTCAGATATTAACTTTAAACACCATTTGACTACTTAGGACTAGATATCGTGCTCTATAATACCTATTACCTTCCCCATTATACACGTCATTTTACTGTAATCACTTTTTTCTTATCTTCCCTGTAAAAATCCAATAGGGCATTGTTATCTTATTCACTGAATTTGAAGCTAGGTCTGACAAGCATTACATATTTAGTATTTGTAAATAAACTGTGAAAAATCAATAGATGGAACTACACTAGGTACTAACCATGTGTTGCATACTGAGAAAATAAACCTGAAAGTTATGAATTATTTCCACTATTTTCCCAGTTTCAGATAAACAGCAGAGCAATCTCCGAAAGATTAAATAATATCACAAATATTTAAAGTGTCAGGGCAGAGTTGAACTTACATGCATAAGAGTCAAACTTTTTCTAGAACGTTGTTTACTTATAAACATTTTGTATATGTTGCAATTAGACTTTTGTACTCCTAAAATAATACCTAAAAATAAGGTAACAAACGTTTTTTTATATAAAAATCCTGATTAAATCACTTCTGTGAATCAGACAAGATACTTTAGGACAGCCTTTAACAAACAGTCTAAATTTAAAACATTTAAGTGAATCTCAAGTCAAAAGGAGAGACACCAAAGCAAGATAGAAAAATTTAAAAAACAAAGGAAAAAATATGCCAATGATCAACAGATACTGCTCTAAATCTCATGGATTCAATATTCAGCTAGGGAAATGTGTTAACATTACTACACTGAACTGAACTTTAAAATCAGCAGCACATTCAGATCTTATAAGGTTTTTTTCATATATTGTCAAATATAGAAGCAGTGTGGTAAAAGAGGGCTAATACGAATTTTGGACTCTATAGGTATGGGGCAGCTGGCTGGCTCAGTCAGAAGAGCATGTGACTCTTGATCTTGGGGTTATGAGTTCGAGCCCCACCCTGGTGTAGAGATTACATAAACAAACAAACAAACTTTAAAAATATATATATGAATGTTGCAGTCATTAGACCTGGGCTCAGATCCATACTCCCATTACTTAATAATTGTGTGACCTTATGCAAGTTTCTCCACTTCTCTGAGTTCAATTTTCACATAGGTAAAATAAGAACATTATCATCTTTATGAGCAACTATTTTAAGAATTAAGGTTAACATACATAGAGCCCCTAGTACAAGGCATATATTTCATATATTTCAGCATATAAATGATAAACAATAATTGATATCTTCAGATATTTGATCTAGAAATTTAATCTGAAATTGTCAAAACATACTCATTTGAAACATAACTTGAACAACTTTTCCTACTATCTGTTATACCTACTAGTAAGTCAATTATGTCTATACCCTTAATATTTGATTGTTTACAAAGTGTTATTTTTGTAGGGATGACAAGGAAGGTAGGAGAATAAAAAAGAAGAAATAACACAAAAAGATCATAAATGTTTCAGCTGTTAAAAGATGGTCTGGCTGCAGAATCTTCTGTGCATAAGAAAATCCAAAAACAATTTTGCCTGCAACTGAGGGATGAGGCTGAAGGGATTAGGAATTCCCTGTACTTGAAAAGAAATCTCTGAACTCCATCATTCCTTCTCTTTCTCTCAGGATTTCAAGGGCTTGATGTACTTTGTACCACATATCTCAAAGTTCCCATTAATATTGGGAAACCTAGCAAGACACAGTTATGTTAGTATGTTACCCCATGAATTCTGATCTTTCCAGGAAGTGCAGAACATAAGCAGAAAATGGGGAACTAAAAGAAAGGGGAAGAGGAAAAAGGAAGGAAGGTGATGGAAAATCATTTAAGTGACACTAAATGATTAGTGCTAAAGATAAGTAGGTCAGAAAAAATCACTAATATGCAAATAATTAGAAATTAATTTGCAGTTATAAATATTGCTGCTATAAATACTAGATGTCAACTTCTTTTTAATCACTTAAACTTCCTTTAAAATTAGCTTACCAGAATCATAGCTTGGAGGCTTCATATCTCCCTGATTCAATTCTGTCCCATATTTCAACTTGTGGTATTTGGCTCTAACAAAGAAATAAGAAAATACAAACCATCTTAAAACATATTTAAATGAACTTTAGGATATGTAATAGGAGTAGTCATCAGTACGCAGTAGTCCTGGCTACCTTTCAAAGTAGGCTTCCACAGTGTCAAAGTGGTTGTCATTATTATTGTTGTTACACCATCAAGTGCCATTATAACAAATAAAAGAGTAACACTGGGAACCATAAATCTTTCTATAATTACATATAACATTCTAGTTTCTGTAGTATTCAAATTTTCTTGATGATTGCCAAATTACAATTCTACTATCAAAAGCAGTACATACATTTGGATTATGAAATAAACTTGTAGAAGACTAACCTTTCTCAAAATTGATGTATTTATAAAAAGAAAACTCATCTAATGGTATGAACATACAACGGAGTATTATGCAGCCATAACAAAAGGGTGAGATCTTGCTATCTGTGACAACATGGATGGACCCAGAGGGTATCATGCTAAGTGAAATAAGTCAGACTGAGAAAGACAAATACCAAATGGTTTCACTCATGTGTGTAATCTTAGAAAACAAAACAAATGAATAAACAAACAAAAAGCAGAATCAGACCTATAAATATAGAAAACAGAGACTTACCAGAGGGAAGGGCAGTGAGGGAATGGGCAAAACGGGGAAAGGGGACTGGGAGATACAGGCTTGAGTTATGGAATGAATAAGTCACAGGAACAAAAGGTACAACAAATACAACAGTTGATGATACTGTAATAGCACTGTATGGTGACACATGGTAGCTACACTCGTGGTAAACATTACATAACATATAGAGATATTGAATCACTGTGCTAGACAACTGAAACTAATGTAACACTGTGTGTCAACTACACTCAAAAAAATGTTTTAAGTCATCTATAATACTCTGTGCCTTGTCAGGCCATTAGGATTTACCAAGTATGCATTACAGTAAACAATCCAAAGGAGAGAGGGGGAATAAGCCCTAATCACCAGTGTTGAATAAGGTATTTCAATAGGAATGAATACATTTTTTTTAATAGTCAAGATATCCTTTGCCTTTTCAGAAAGGACTATGAAGAGAAATTCTTATCTATTTCCCTTTTAAAGCTAGCTAAATATAATTATTTCTGGCTAACCTGATTTCACCATTTCAGATTTAAACATCTGAGACCAGAAAAATAATCTAGATAAAGTAAAAATTTTAAAGGTCAATCAAAAATGGCCATACTTATGTAATGTATTTATATATTTTGACTTGTTTGCTTCCCCAAAATATTGAGGCCATTCATAATAAATATTAAATGCAATAAGGTTAGGATAACAACAGTAATAATAATTAATTCAGCACTTAAAGAAGTTTTTATATTTCAAAAAAGGTATAAAGGAAATGAAAATTATCTGCTCAAATGGGCAAAGTACTGGAATTCATATTATTTTATAGTTACAACAGAAAAATCAATGTTTATATAGAGGAGGATCTTAAGAAAACCTATGAAAATTACAGACAGCTGATGTTCTATTTAAGGTCGGCAACGAGTATAGGAGTATATATTAGTCTTTATATGTTTTGCATATGTACAGAATGTTTTGTAATAATATATACACATTAAAAATAAAAAAGAATATTTGTTCTATATATGTGTTATATATATATGTCATATGTATAGAAGATTTCTGGAAGAATACGTAAGACATTACTAAGATTTCCTTTGGGAAGGGAAAGCAATACATAAAGGGAGACCATATTGTGTTATCTGGTTAATTAACAACATGCATATATTTCTTTTTTTTTAATTTTTAGTAAATACTTTTGTTCCAAATTAACTAGAACATCTTTTTCTCTATTCCCAATGCTTCTGTTAATCACAAAGATTTCATCACCAGACTAAACATTTCCTAGTCTATTTCAATGTATTTGTAATAATGTTGATTGTTAGAGAATAAGATTTATAGCCACTTAATTTTACTTACAGTTACCAGAAATTAAACAAGGTTCTCAATATTTGTCAATCTTCAGACTTTTCATCTACCATGAAACAAAGTAACAATACCTCCTAAAAGTCAAATAGCAATTGAAAGTAACTGGTCTGAGGATGGAATAAAAGTAGCAATAAAATATTATGGAGTTCATTTATACACACACACACACACACACACACAAACATTTCTATATAAAAATACTGCACGATAGTGCATTCTAGTGGTCTTGGGAAAAACTGCAACAGAGTTTATATAAAAGAGGAATAGAAAATATTCTTTACAATGTATGTAATAAAAATAACATACTATGAGCTAACATTTCATAAAAAATTAGACAAAGTAAGTAAAGAACTGTCTTGTTTACCATAGGCTGTGTTCCCTTAAAGCAGGGTCTCCCTACTAAACTGTTAAATTCACTGAAAAAAACCTTACTCCCAGAACCCTTCTCAACTTAGCAACATTCCTTTTGAAGCTAACATGCCAAATACCTTTCTCACTCATATTGTTTCCCATGGTTTTAATACTTCATCTCACTGTGTTATTTACCAATCTTATTCCCTTATCTTTTTGTCTAAATGTGACTGTAAAATAAATAGCAGATCTCATGCCTAAGAACCCTATGTCTGATACATAGCTAGGCCTCCCAACTGACCTTTACTGGGATAAAAGAGCATAAAAATTGTATAATAATAAAGAAGTCCCGTTAGAGCTTTGTTTCAAAGTCTTTTATTATATATAATGTGCTAGGAATATAACATAGCATCCCAATCACATTTTAAATGTTGATGCTAAAAATAATCTGATTAAATCAATGAACTGTTTCTGAATTCTTATGACATGTCAGGCACTGTACTGGCTGCTGGGAATAACCGGCAGTTTGTAGTCAATTAAGGGTAGAGGCAAGGAGATGCCTAAGAGATAGAAATTAAAATAAATAACGACAGCACGCTGTGATAAGAGTTATGAGATATATCAAATGTTATAGGAATTCACATAAGAGATTATCTAATTCTGTCAAAGGTGGTGTCTAGGAGAACTACCAAAAAAAAAAGGTAACATATGAGATTTTTAGTTAGCTAAACCTCAAAAAACCAGTGGTTTTCCAATCAGACGAAGAGATTGATGAAAAGTATTTCTGTCAGAAGAAAAAGTGGGGAAAAAAATACACCATGGGTCAAAAAAAAAAAAAAAGCCGTGTGTGTGTGTGTGTGTGTGTGTGTACGGGACTAGAAAGAGGCCTGGCTGTAAGAGGTCTTACTAAGATCTTTGAAATTAGCTAGATATTTTTAAGCAGGGATATAATATATGTATTTCAAAAAATGAATCCTATGAATGTGGAAGATGAATTAGAATATGGAAATATCAGAGGCAAGGAGGACATGTGGGTTTTTATAGTGCAGGTGAAAGAGAGAAATGCGGAAAAATGGAATGTTTCAGAATTGTATTTTATATAGTATTTAAGGTTCTTCAGTATAGAAGTTCCTAAGTAAATCTTAAACACTATGTGTTCTTGAAAAATTAGATGTAAATTTCCTCATTTTACATATTCTATCACACTTTAAGGAATGCTTTGATAAATTCCTGGCTAGGCGAGTAATCTTCCTGTAATGTTAAAGATTCAGTTTCACTTAATTTTGGATCTTTTTAAGTGGGACTACTTAGAAAATCTGTAACACAGCAATTCTAAATCATGATCCTTACCCTTAGGTATGTCAGGGTGAATGACAAGATGTCTAGAATTTGCTGTTCTAAAATAGATAAAGATGAAGTAAGAATGACAGGAACATTAACTGTTGAGGCTTGGAGGTGTATATAAAAGATATTAGTCTCTCTACATTTATGTTTCAAATTATGCTCAATAAAACTCCTTAAAAATTCTTGGCTTAAAGTATTAGAAAAATAATTTCAGAATCAGAAGACCTGAAATGTTCTAGAACTCCAAAATTTTTAAAAATTCCTGGCATTAAAGAATTCGAAAAATAATTTCAGAGTTAAAGAACTGAAATGTTTAAGAGCTCTAATCCAGAAAGAAATGCTTTTTTATTCCTTATTACACTTAAGTAGTGCCATAACATCAGGAATAATCTCAAACCATTCCATAAATTTCAAAAGATACAAAATCAGTGACTCTGGAATCAGGAGAATTCCATTAGTTTAAAAAAAAAAAAAAAATCTTCCTTAGACCCAGCCAGTTATCTCTTCTGTTTTTCAAAGTCAAACTACTTGAAAAAATAAGCGACTGCATCTGTCTCCACTTCATCTGTCCTTCTCAGCCCTCAATCCCCTGTGATCTGGTTTATGTTCCTGCTACCTCACTGAAACTATCCTGGCAAGGAGACCAGCAAGCTCCTACCTGGCACATCTAGATAACTACTTTCAGCTTACAACTTACCTGGAGTCTGCTGGGCATCTGCAATTGTCAAACTCCCACCTTCTTTAGCTTGCGTCCAATATACTGCTCTCTCCTTCCTTCTCCAACCCTTCCTTTGCTGGCCCTTCCTCCATCTGCCTTTTCCTCAAACACTTCCATTTCCTGTGGCTCCAGCTGATTCTGTCTTCTTCTCCCATAATACTTGTTCTGCGTGTTTCAACTACTCCTATAACTTTATCCACAATACTTATGGTACCCAAGTATACATCTCTAGTCCTGAGTCCCACTCCCATATCTGCTTTTCAATACTTACTTCTTAATCTTTAATTCATTTGATAACTTATAAAACTTTCACTCAAGCCAGGAACTTGGGAACCATTCTTGAATTATAATTTTTATGGATTCTATTTAAAATGTTTCATAGCTGATGCCTCCTCTTTTCCAGCAGCTACCATGTTATAATTTCTCATCCTAGACTATTAGACTCTTCCTGCTTCTATTCATAGATCTTTCCAGTCCATCCCCCATAACGAAGTCAGGGTGATCTTTGTAAAATCTATTTCACACTATTCCATGCTCCTTTCAACTGCATGACAACTAAATACAATACGTATTCCTAGACTGGATCCTAGAGCAGGAAAAAAAAGTACTATAAAAATCATTACTGGGACATTTGATGGGGAAAATGCTATTAAGATCATCACTGGAGGGGCACCTGGGTGGCTCAGTCGTTAAGCGTCTGCCTTCAGCTCAGGTCATGATCCCAGGGTCCTGGGATCAAGCCCCACATCGGGCTCCCTGCTCAATGGGAAGCCTGCTTCTCCCTCTCCCACTCCCCCTGCTTGTGTTCTCTCTCTCTCTGTCAAATAAATAAAATCTTAAAAAAAAAAAAAGATCACTGGAGCATATGAATATGGGCTATATTAGATAATAGTGCTATATCAACATTAAATTTCCTTAATTTGATAAAGAGTTGTAATTATATAAGGGAATCTCCTTGCTCTTAGAAGATATATACTGAGGTATTCAGGGGCAAAGGGGTATAACATCTGCATCTAAGTAGCAAAAGATTCAGAAAAAAAGCAATACGCCTACAGAGTGAACATACCAGTAAATATAGCAAAATGTTGTCAACTGGGTGAATCCGGGTAAAAGGCATGTAGTTCTTGCAACTACTATTAGCTTGAGAAATTTCAGAATAAAAGGTTTTGAAAAACTTTCAATGTTCCCTATTATATGGAAGATAAAAGTCTGAACTCCTTAGTTAAGTTCTCCATCATCTGGCTCTTGCTCACATCTACCATTATCACTTATTAAATCACAACTAACATCCTACCCTCCACACACAGTGACTGCATATTTCTGTAACACACCAAACTACTTTGTTCCCTGTCAAATATATCCTCTCTACTTCTTGAACCTTGCCTATCTGGTGAACATCTTATTTTTGATGATACTGTTGAAGTCTCACCTCCTCTCCAATTACATCCTTCCTTCTACTTCCACCTTCCAGATCCAAATAACCACTCCCTTCTTTGTGACCCGACTGTACCCTGTACAGACATCTCCAATAGCACTTATCGTACTGCACTGCACTTTTGTGGTTTACAAGTGTGTTTCTTGCTACTCTGAGCCCTTAAGGACAAGGACAGTGACCTACGTTTATACTCAGCTCCAGCACAGTGCTTAAGTTGGATGGATATATTAATGAATATGTTTAATGAGAAGGAAGGGACACACTCATACACACACACACACAAAACATCCCTGGTTACTTTAGTATATGTATATTTTAACTCTTCTGTATTACAAGATAGAATCATGTATTGGTAAAGAGTATAGCCTTCAGAATCAGACAGACCTGAGGGATCTGAATCACAGCTCTCCTACAACTTTGCAACTCTACTCAAGTTACTTTGTTTTTAAGCTTCAGGGCCTGGTACACAGTAGTTAATAAATAGCTGCCATTATTAATGTTATTATTCTTTCTCTTCCATGATGCCTACAATTAGATTGCTTAAAATCTCAAATATTCCCAAACTGCATGCTTTTAAAAGTAGTTTCCCTCCCCCGACCCATCTCTCCAATACAGCTTTCAATCAACCTCTCAAGGAATAAAAAGAATCATCTATTTTTTAACCAAGAGGTCAGCCTGTTTTCAATTTCTTGTGCCATTCCAAGATCCTGTGTAAAGGTGAAAACAAGTTCTATTAAAGTTTAATCTGCTTCTTAATATTCACAAATATCATCTGTTAAATGCTATTTTATGGCAGTTTTGCAAACAGCCCATTCATCAACTTCAAAGAAATGAGAAAAGTATGTGGTCAAAACAAGCAAAATAGAGAATTTCAATACCGCCTATCAAGTACTCAATTATCAGAAACAAAAACAAAAAATTATCTAAAAACAAAAAATCCAAAGACCACCTGTTAAAACTAATAAACTTATAATTCATATGAAAACTTCCAAAATTCTCATCTATGACCCGTTGTCCTTTACCTGTGACCCGAGCTTAATTGCTTGAGTATCTTAGACCTAGCAACATAGAAAGTTAGGATTCACTTCTGGAGTGAGATGAATAGTGCTGATAGCAAAGGAACAAAATACCCAAAAAAAGTCTAGAAAAAGATAAAAAAGATTCTCAATACAGTCTGCATTTTTTCCCAAAGAAAACACATCAAAGTGATTAATATTAGTTGATGAGGGAGTAAGCACCACAGAAATTTCCTTCACAACTCAAAAACGATTTCAATTCCATAAAGAAATGGATAATGACAGCTCAGGAAACACGTTTCTTAAGAAAGGACAGGGAAGAGGAAAAATGTTGCTAAATTTTTTTTTAAATGATGTAAATCAGTTTATTGGTCATGATTATTAAACATTCACAAGAACATTAACATATTACAACCATTTTTAAATGTGTATTACAGATACTATTTCCTGAATTCAAAAGTATTAAGTATTAAAATTTGGATTTGTTTTAGGAATGACAAAAATTACTCCAATCTTTAAAGAGAACATCATCTTCCATTTTATTGAATTACCTTTCCTGTTTAAGAGCGTACTCCAGCATTTTGATCCTCCTCACAAGATCCTTCTTCAAAATTTCTTGACCCTTTCTTTCCCCCTGAAGGAAAGCAATCTGGGCCTGAGTAGGGAAAAGAAAGACAAAACTAAAATTAGACCACATAAAAAAACTTTTTCACCCAGTTGAAGAAAGAAACTTTGGGAGATAGGACACTTAGATACAAATATGTTTCCTTCTACATATGTGTCACAAGTGCGTAAGTGTATAGAAAGGCACTGACTACAAGGGGAAAAAAAACTTTTTTTTTAAATATGCATTTTACTTCAGATCAGGGATGTTACAACAGGTAGACTGTGTCCTCTAAGAGTCTATAATCTAAAACAATCAATATAAATGCAGACATATGCAAAGTGTACAGTATAGTTTACTCAAGTGCTTATGGCATTGAGGGGGCTTCTCTTTTATAAAGAGTGAAGATGGGGAAAGGGGATAGTAAAATCCTGAGTTCTTGTAAGACCACTGCGAAGTAACAGTTCTCAGAGCTTCACCACATATATAAATCTTATGACGGACTTAAGATTGTCTTGAAAGACTTTATTCTGGACCTCCCCTGCAAACAATAAAGAGCTGCCTTTTCTCAATCCCCACTTTCACCCCAGCCTCTTTTAGAAGATTTAATGTGCAGAAAAAAAGTGAAAGTTCAAAAAAGGAAAATCAGAAACCACAGCCCTCCATAGGTTCCTGGCCCCTTCAAGAAATAATTAAAGAAAAAAAACAAAAACAAAAAAACCCCCTACATTTTAACATGTAAACAAACTGTAAAACTTTTGTCTTCAGAAAAACAGCTAGGTAAGAGTGGCTCTCCAGAATATCTAAAAAGACATTTAGAATTGAAATAGTATCTTCCACTTAAGGAACTGAAACTAGCTGCAAACACTAACTTGTTAAAGTAACTCATAACACCACTAAGAATAGGGCAGAAGGGATTTAAGGATCCTTAAGAATAGCCATCGATTTCACTATTCTCATATGCTTTCCCCTTCCATTTCTATTACATTAGTGCAGATAACAATGTTACTTATATTTCCACAGTGCTTTCCATTTAAGTAAGCAGGAACTTATATTTAATGATGACCATACCACATCCTTAAGAAACTGTGAATTGTCCAACGAAAGTTTAGTGAGTGAACCACTAACTACTTCTACTCAGTTTGAATAACACTCCTTTCTATGTTTTCAGTACCATACTGAATACAAAATCCAATTTACCAAGGATCTTATAATTTTCAAGATGTAAGTAGTGTTGTTTTTGTTTTTATTTCAATAAGCTCTTGAAATTGCAATTAAAGAAGGATTATTTTTTTCTTACTGAATTAAAAATAGTCCAAAGACAACCATAGACAGAGGAAAAGAATATCTATACTACCCAAACTTAATGATCATAAAACCTTTCGAAATTATGTATTCTGCAAGGAGATCATTATTTTATGTAAGCATAATAATAACACAATGTATTTAAAGCTGACAAAAATGAGGGGCGCCTGGGTGGTTCAGTCAGTTAAGCTTCCAACTCCTGATTTCAGCTAGGGTCATGATCTCGCGATCGTGAGATTGAGCGCCCCAGGTCAGGCTCTGCGCTGAGCATGGAGCCTGCTTAAGATTCTCCCCTCCTGGGGCGTCTGGGTAGCTCAGTCAGTTAAACATCTGCCTTCGGCTCAGGTCATGATCCCAGGGTCCTGGGATCGAGCCCCGCATCAGGCTCCCTGCTCGTGGGGAGCCTGCTTCTCCCTCTCCTCCCTGTTCATGTTCTCTCTTGCTATCTCTCTCTCTCAAATAAATAAATAAAATCTTTAAAAAAAAAAAAAAGATTCTCTCTCTCCCTCTATCCCTCATCCACATCTGCTCCCCACACTCACCGGCTAAAAAAAAGGAATAATAAAAGCTGAAAAAAATGAAAGCCTTGTCAAAAGGATATGACGGTCCAACTTGTTTGACCAAACAGTGCTTTGGCATAGAATTCTATACACTCTTCAAAACGACTTTAATAAAAACAATAATCTAATCTGCATAATTATAAAATCAGAGTAATAATAAAATCAATGACCAATTTCTTCCTCTCTATATCCTTTGGCTAGTTTTGTATTTCTACCACCATCATGGTTTCTGGATGATTCTGAAACTTCAGCCCATAATACTGGAAAGTCTTTACTGTGATTAAAAACTCCTTGTGTTTCCAGTACACTTGCTTCCCCATCCTTCTACCAATCACATATTGGATTAGTTAAATATTTAATAAAAATAAAAGACCTAGAACTGTTTAAGACAAAGATTACAGAGAAGATGGGAGTTGCCCAGAAAGACAAAAAAGAATAATAGTATTGGTGCTATTTCTTGGTGATCACAGAATACCTCTGTGATATTTCTGCCAAAGATGCATAACCTGAAATCAATCATAAGGAAATATCAGGCAAATTCAAGTCAAGGGACATTTCACATTAACTTTCTTGTGATGTTCAAAAGTGTCAGCTCATAAAAGTCAAGGAAAGACTGTTTTAGATTGAAGGAGCCTAAAAAGACATGAAAAACAAATGTAATACATGATTTTGAACTGAATTTGGCTATAAAAGGACCTAATTAGGACAAGTGATGAAACATGAATGGGGTCTGAGGATTAGATGGTAGTAATGTATCAGTGTTAATTTCCTGATTTTGATGGTTATATGTGGTTACATAAGATAGTACTTGTTTATACGAAATAAACACTAAAGTATTTGGAGGGAGGCAACGGCCTATCAGGTTGGCTGGCAACTTGCCCTCAAATGGTTCAGGAAGAAAAAAATTCTGTGTATTACCCTTGCAACTGTTCTGTCAATGTAAGATTTATTTTTTTTTTTTAGTTTTGAAACAAACACTATGCCAACTCCCCCTAATATAAGATACAAATAATTCAATTCAAAGTCAGCATTATGTATAATGGAAAAACCCAAGAAGTACTGACAATCAGGAACAAAAAAGGATGTCCATTTTTTACCACAAATATTTAACCATGTTCTGGAGGTAGTGGCCAATGTCATCAGTCAAGAAAGAAAGAAGTTTAAAAACAGAAAAAAGAAAACAAAATTGTTATCACTTGCAAATGATATGAGTGGATACCAGGAAAATCCAAAGAAACTGACTATAAAGTCTTACAAAAAATAGAGGAATTTTAATGAAGTAGCTACATGTAAAAATAATAAATTAAAACCCATGAGCTATAAAAACAGTTCTATAATGATAGAAAACAATCCCATTTCTAATAACAAAAATAAGCTGATGAGAATAAAACTTCCAAGAAAAAAAATAAAAGTTAAGCAAAGAATACAGCACATGAGAATTCTAAAATACACATGGGAAAAAAAGCAAAATAAGCAAATTATTTAAAATCACTGAGATATTTTAAAAGATATTATGATTCTACAATCACTTAAATGGTGGTACTGATTCATGAACAGAGCTGTGGTATGGACAATCCAAACACAAACCCAAATATATACAAGAATTTAGTATATGCTAAAGGGGACGCTGCAGATCACTGGGGGAAATGTGGATTATTCAATAAATGTTGATGGGCAGCCAGCTGGAAAATATTTCTCACATCAAAACAAATAATAAAAAATGTTCAGGGGCACCTGGGTGGCTCAGTCGGTTAAGCGTCTGCCTTCAGCTCAGGTCATGATTCCAGGGTTCTGGGATTGAGCCCCACATTGGGCTCCTTGCTCGGCGGGGAGCCTGCTTGTCCCTCTCTCTCTGACTGCCGCTCCCCCTGCTTGTGCTCTCTCTCTCTCTCTGTCAAATAAATAAATAAAATCTTTAAAAAAAAATGTTCAAAGAACCCCAAAGCATTTGAAGAAAAGGTAGGGTTTGTTTTTGTTCTAAAAATCTCAAAGTTAGGAAAGCCTTTCTGAGAATAAGATAAAACCCAAAGCCATAAAAGACTAATACATTTTATCTCAAAAAAATATTTGCATGTATATGGCAATTAAAAAGTTGCTGAAAACCTGTTATGAGAAATAAAACAATTCTTTTTTGACAAATGTCAAAATGAAATAGGAAATGCAGTCAACACAAATCACAAGAGTTTGCTTTTCTTAGTATATTAAGAGCACTTACAAATCAGTAAGATAAGGACTCAACAGAAAAACATACAAAGGACATGTTCATAGAAAGGAAATACAAAACCTCAAACATATTAAAAAGATGTTTAATGTCACGTGAAAGAGAAATACCAATTAAAACTATAATCAGATTTCCTCTTTTCCATCAGACTAAGTTCAATAATGTAATAAAACAATTATGTTGTGGGGGAAAAGGCATTTGTATGTTGGCTGTGATGATATAAATCAGTTTCACTACAGGGGACAATTTGGCAACATCCACTGACTCTGTAAATGCTCATACTCTTTACTCAGCAATTCTAATTCTAGATTGTTACCCTTCGAATATATTTGCACACGTGTGAAATGATACACTGAAAGAATACACACAAAAATGTATGTATAATTCTAATGCCCCTCCACAGGGGATAGGTTAAATAAATTATAAATACCACTAGTGGAAAATCAGGTCCTCAACTGATATCTATAAAAAAAGAGGAAGAAAGAGTCAATCTCTTAGATATTTTCCCTCTGGAAAACTCTACTCAGAAAATTAGAAAAAAAGATCTTAAAACATACGTTCTTACAGACTAATTTCTTCTGTAAAAACCACCTGAGTCTAAAACATAATAACTGGTATAAATCTCTTTACCCTTTCAAAATAAAAAGTAAATCCCAGATAAAGATTTTTCTAATATGGCAGGATACTGTTGTTTGAATTGGATTATTTAACTGAAAAGACAGGAAGGGGAGGAGAGACATAAGGGAAAAAAAAGACTGAAAGAAAGGAAGGGTAAGGGGGGAGGGGGGAAGGGGGAGGGAGGAGGGGGAGAAGGGGTGAGGAAGGAAGAAAGGGAGGGAGGGAGGAAGGAAAGAAAGAAAAAATAAAAAGAAAGTGGGATACATCTATACAAAGGATTGCTACGTGTTTGTTACAGACAGCTCTAGATATATTGATTTAGAATGATTCCCAAGATAGATTAAATG